ATAGCTGTTGTAGAGAAAAAAATCATAGCTGCTGTAGAGAAAAAATAATAGCTGTTGTAGAGAGAAAAATCATAGCTGTTGTAGAGAAAAAAATCATAGCTGTTTTAGAGAGAAAAAACCATAGCTGTTGTAGAAAAAAAAACATAGCCGTTGTAGAAAAAAAATCATAGCTGTTGTAGAGAAAAAAATCATAGCTGTTATAGAGAAAAAATCGTAGCTGTTGTAGAGAAAAAATCGTAGCTGCTGTAGAGAAAAATCATAGCTGTTGTAGAGAAAAAAAATCAAAGCTGTTGTAGAGAAAAAATCATAGCTGTTGTAGAGAAAATAATAATAGCTATTGTAGAGAAAAAATCATAGCTGTTGTAGAGAGAATTAAATCATAGCTGTTGTAGAAAGAAAAAAATCATAGCTGTTGTAGAGGGAAAAAAATTATAGCCGTTGTAAAAAAATATAGCTGTTGTAGAAAAAAATCATAGCTGTTGTAGAGAGAAAAATGATAGCTGCTGTAGAGAAAAAGAAATCAAAGCTGTTGTAGAGAAAATCATAGCTGTTGTAGAGAGACAAATCATAGCTGCTGTACAGAAAATTCAAAGCTGTTGTAGAGAAAAAATCATAGCTGTTGTCAAGAGAAAAATCGTAGCTGTTGTAGAGACAAAAATAATAGCTGTTGTTAAGAAAAAAAAGAATAGCTGTTGTAGAGAGAAAAATCATAGCTGTTGTAGAAAAGAAAATCATAGCTTGTTGTAGAGAGAAAAATAATAGCTGTTGTAGAGAAAAAAACAATACCTGTTGTAGAAAAGAAAATCATAGCTGTTGTAGAGAGAAAAATAATAGCTGTTGTAAAGGAAAAAATCATAGCTGTTGTAAAGAAAAAAATAGCTGTTGTAGAAAAAAATCATAGCTGTTGTAGAGAGAAAAATCATAGCTGCTGTAGAGAAAAAAAATCAAAGCTGTTGTAGAGAAAAAATCACAGCTGTTGTAGAGAGAAAAATCATAGCTGTTGTACAGAAAAATCAAAGCTGTTGTAGAGAAAAAAATCATAGCTGTTGTAGAGAAAAAAACAATAGCTGTTGTAGAAAAGAAAATCAAAGCTGTTGTAGAGAGAAAAATTATAGCTGTTGTAAAGGAAAAAAATCATAGCTGTTGTAGAGAAAAAAATCATAGCTGCTGTAGAGAAAAAATCACAGCTGTTGTAGAGCAACAGCTGTGATTTTAGCTCCATGTGGTTGACGAGCCACATATGCTTGTGTCAGGAGTAGCGGAGTGGTACGCAGCTCTGACGATCCTTCCTCCTACTACGTCGCTTGCAAAAAACGTTTTTTTCTTGCCGTGGTTTTTCCCACCTCATGATGATTGCTTGTGTTGCAATCGAAACGTCGTGATTTATTTTATTTTATACCTACACGACTTTACCGAAAGAACCAAAGAGTAGGGTCGTTTCATGTTCCACGATTCTGTTTTTGGGAGGTGACCACAGTCGCTGCAGACTGACCAGAGTGTAGTTTTTTTATATCCCTTTTGTTTTCAACCTGCTTCCATGGTTCGTGTGCGGATGCGGTTCGTGGTGTGGCCCAGAAGCTTGGTGGGGTGTCGAGGCCAAGGTGGGTGAGATGAGGCTCAGGCTGAGTGGTTCCCAACATTGTTAGTTCTGTCCCCCACCCACCCACCCCTGCCCCCCCCCACCCTCCCCTAACCGCCCTCGTACCACAGTAGCCAAGTATGTGACAGAATGAAGTCGAGCGTGCGTTCATCTTCTTCTCTGCCTCCTCCTCTGCCTTGAATCTGTTTACAAAACAGGGGCGACGCGCGAACCGCGTGTGCTGCTGATGTTTTGGATTAAAAAATGCCGCCAAGCAGGAACATCGACCCACCCCCTAATCCTAAACCACCACCCACCGGGTTCAACCCGTGCCCCGGTCTTGCTGATTTGGAAACAGTGGGCATATTTGTATTAGTATCCAGTCTACTGAACTCTATGTGAGTCCACGGGTCACCAATATGATTGCACGCGTCACCATGTAAATATTTGGGTATATTCGTGAGTATACGGGTCCCCCGTAAGAGTGCATGCACATCTCTTACAGTATATGGGTTAAATGTACAGTACTGTACAGTGTATATAGGGGTTCTATAGGAATACGATATATATATGGGTCTCTGCGACCGTACGGGTCACCGTGTGAGTTAATAGGAATCGATAGGAGTGTATGGGTTTGTGTAATTGTATGGGTCTCTGTGTGAGAATATGGGTCTCGCTGCGAGTATACGTCACAATACCACGTGGGTTTATATCGCCGCGAGATGAGAGCGGAGATAGCAGCAGTGGCGACACAATGTGGCCGCAAACCTTCACAAGGTGCTCATCCTGGAGATAACAACGTAAATAAGCATGCAATGAGGCTACTTTGTAACGTATCCGTCTTTCCACGTAAGTAAAAAAAAACAGAAGCGTTTTCTACACTGCCCATCCGCCACAATGCCCCCCCCCCCCACCACCGGGAGTGTACCCATTCTATATTATGTATGCGGAACTTCTTTCGCACCGTACGTAGCCAACCGTGCTAATCGGGAGGTTCTGAGCAGCACTGACTCAAATACAAGCAAAGTCTGGATCGGTTTCGACACACAGCGTCTCTTCAGCAGTCCTGCCTGCACCAATGCTGCTGAACCGCCAGATGTTGTACGGCGAAATTTATCTCTTGAGTGCGTGTACTGGCAGTCTATAATATATATACTGTACCCGACTGTGTAATTGTACTCTGACCGGTCTAAATAAATCTGCTCGAGCCGACTCACGCTGTATGGAGTGCATTACGTAACATTGATTCGTGCCCGTGCAGTAAAATTCCCATTGTGACGCGTTTGTTCTGTGCGCCGATTTCTCGTTTTCTTCATCCGCTGCAACTTCATTTCGCTTTTCCTTTGCCACTTCTGGTGAGCCGGGTCACTCTTGCAAACGAGACGCGATCCTGGCCTCTCTCGAGTTCGCACGCGGTTCAACAAAACAAACTTGAATTGAAAAGGGAGACCACCAAGGTTTCATGACGGACGGCCAATGTTTGATGATGATGATGATGGTGGTGCCAACAGCGAGATGCCCCATCGCCGCATGGGAAACGTCTCCCGCGCCAACGCGGCTCGAGTCGAGGGGGCCGCGATGTCCCAACCTCGCCGTTGTCGTGGCAGGAGATGTTGAAACGGTGCGGCACGCGGTCGCTAACCGCCCTCGACGTCACGGCGACGTCACGGCGAGTCGGAATTCCGACTCCTGTGACGTTTCTCCTGCCCCCGTGCCCCTCCCCCCACACCCACAGTGGTGGATCCAAGGAGGGGGAGGAGAGGTGGTGGGGGGGGGGCCCTTCCATCCCCAATAATTGAGACCCCGAAAATTGGCATTTTTTTTACTTTTACCAGAGACAAAATTTGGTAAAATAGTTCCTTATTATTAGTGATGTAGGACCCGCCTTAAGAAACGTTATACAATATATCAGGACCCCCCCCCCCTGTCTAGATGCACATCTGCCCCCCCCCCATCCCCCGAAACACCTCTCAGACTTCAAGAGTTGATTCTCAGACTTATTTTTCTTTAAATAGGAGGCCGGCGGGAGTGGGAGGGAAGGCCCATGCACCCATGCACCCATTTTCACAGCGCCAGTGTGAAACCGTGCGAGTTGCATGAGGCTGGGCAGTGGCGTCCGTACCCGCCCGGGCGACTGCATTCACGCGACTCAACTCGCCTGCAACTGTAGTAGTAGTAGTAGTCATAGGTTTTTACCCTTTTAGCTGGCACCAAAACTGACACCTTTAAACAAGGGGATCACGTTTGCAATAACCACAACACGAGCAGTCAAAATGCAAACAAAAAGAGACAAATATTCTTAGCTCTTTCGGTAAAGTCACGTTGAAGGGAAACAATAAAATAATAAAATATTTTTTGTGTTTTTAATATATATTTTATTATTTTATTGTTTCCCTTCAACGTGACTTTACCGAAAGAGCTAAAGAATATGAATTACCGCAGTCACGAAAGCTTTAAATCAAAAAGAGACAACTCTGATAATGATAGTGGCACTGTCCTTGAAATCGATTGCAACTGCTTTTGTCCGCGTCCGAGCGAATAGGCGCGCAGCAAGCTGCTAGGACAGCGTTTTTATTCAGCATCGTAACGACCAGGTCGGAATAATAAAGTATTCAAGCTTTCGTGACTGCATAAATTTACTCATTGTTTTTTTTTTTCGGTAAAGTCACGTGTGTAGAAATACAATGAGGTCCGAGTTGGCAAAACCGCGCAGCGCGCGATGGAACGCCGAGATACGGAGCGCCGGTTGCAAGTCCCTCGCGACAGCGAGCAACCGAATTGCGCAACTGCTCGCAACCGGTTGCAGAGACGTCCACGTTATGAGCGAAGATTCAGTCGCATGCAGTCAAGTTGCAACCAAGTTGTGGCGAGTGATAACTTGAGCAGACCCAGGGTCACTCCCCTAATTAGAGTTTGCACAAGCGGCGAGGTGTCTGAACACAAGCACTTGGGAGACAAAGGCGGCCGGGCGTGGATCTGGCCATTGCATCCCCTCGTGCGCCGTCCCGGACTTAGTATGTCCTCGCTAACAGCACTTGTCTTAACAGTTTGTTAAGGCTATGCGGGGGAGCTATTTCCCCCCTTATCTCTGTTTTCTATGTACACGTGTGATTATGTATGAGTATGCACGGGTAAGTGTACAGTGTGTGTGTGTACGTGTGTACACGTGCGTGTGTGAATGTGTGTGGTGTAGCGGTTAGCGCACTGCGCTATGAACCTGGCGACCCGGGTTCGATTCCCGCTCACGGCCAACACCTTTTCTGGGCCTCCCCTAGGTCGACTCAGCCTCAAATGAGTACCTGGTGCGGTGGATAAAAACATTGCCACTAGGGAGACAAATGCGGTCGGGCGTGGTGCTGGCCACCCACCCCCCCTCGTGTACCGTTCCGGCCTTCATAAGTGCTCGCTAACAGCACTTGCCCCTACAGTCTGTTAAGGCTACACGGGGGGTTTTTGTGTGACTAGCTGACTCAGAAAAGTGCGGTAGGCGAGTTTACCACTTCCTCCCCTCCCCTCCCTCACTCACCCCACACCCTCGTCGTCGCTCACCCAACACCGCTCTTTCGGGTTTCAGAATGTTCAGAATGCCCTGCTCTGCAGGACCCGACACGCGCTGATCTCCGGGGTGTGAGAGAGCCAACAACACTCTCGCACAGATGAGGGGATCGCACAGGTGAGGGATCGCACGCGGGCACAGAGAGAGCGAGAGAAGTGAAACGAGCTCGCCGTTTGCTGATGACCCTGCAAAGTGTCTAGCCGAGTGGCAGGGGACGCGTAGCTCGAGCAAGGCAACTGCGGTTAACTTCAGTCGCCCGCACGTGTCCACCTCTGGTGGAGTCGTCACCGCACGTGTTCAACTCTGGTGGAGTCGTCACCGCACGTGTCCACCTCTGGTCGAGTCGTCACCGCACGTGTCCACCTCTGGTGGCGTCGTCACCGCACGTGTTCAACTCTGGTGGAGTCGTCACCGCACGTGTTCAACTCTGGTCGAGTCGTCACCGCACGTGTTCAACTCTGGTCGAGTCGTCACCGCACGTGTTCAACTCTGGTGGCGTCGTCACCGCACGTGTCCACCTCTGGTGGAGTCGTCACCGCACGTGTTCACCTCTGGTCGAGTCGTCACCGCACGTGTTCAACTCTGGTCGAGTCGTCACCGCACGTGTCCACCTCTGGTCGAGTCGTCTGGACGCGTACCGCTATAATCAAGTTGCCTGCACGTGTGCCACTTCTGCATCCAAGTCGCTCCAACCGAAGGCTCCGGTTTGGGGCCGTTCGCTCTGCCTGCTAGACGCCTTCCCCACCCCACCCAGTCTGACGGTCTTCACTCCTGCCTCGCTGCTGCTCCTACTGGCCACAGGGTTGAAGCAGGGGTTTGGAGGTGGGTGGGGGGGTCTTAGGTGAGGAGAGGTATAGGTTTGTGTGTGTGTGTGGGGGGCATTATGTCTGGGGGGGCCGTGACGAACGGGAGCGTCAAGGAGCAGCAGAGCACCAAGGTGGTGATTGTGGGCGATGGCGGCTGCGGGAAGACCTCCCTGCTCACCGTCTTCACCAAAGGGGAGTTCCCTCTGGTGAGCGTGCCCACTCACCACTCACCACGTGCCCTCTCACCACTCACCACGTGCCCACTCACCACTCACCCCGTGCCCACTCACCACTCACCACGTGCCTACTCACCACTCACCCCCATCCACTCACCACTCACCCCCACCCACTCACCACTCACCACGTGCCCACTCACCATTCACCCCGTGCCCACTCACCACTCACCCCGTGCCCACTCACCACTCACCCCGCACCCTCTCACCACTCACCCCGTACAACCTCTCTCACCACTCACCCCGCGCCCTCTCACCACTCACCCCGCACTCTCTCACCACTCACCCCGCACCCTCTCTCACCACTCACCCCGCACTCTCTCTCACCACTCACCCCGCACTCCCTCACCACTCACCCCGCACTCTCTCACCACTCACCCCGCACTCTCTCTCACCACTCACCCCGCACTAACTCACCACTCACCCCGCACTCTCTCACCACTCACCCCGCACTCTCTCTCACCACTCACCCCGCACTCTCTCTCACCACTCACCCCGCACTCTCTCACCACTCACCCCGCGCCCTCTCACCACTCACCCCGCGCTCTCTGCACGTCGATGGGGGTCTCGCTAAATATGAGGGGGGGGGGGGGGGTCTCTATGTTAGTTTACGAGTTTCTGTGCAAGTCATTCTTGCCTTAAACTTGATTAATGTTTATTTATTTGAGTCCACCTCGTTGGTATCCGTGGTCAGTCCATCGAGACCGTCTTTAAAAAGAAAATTGGGTGTGCGCCCACGTGGTAGTCTCATCGCCGTTATTTATTTATTCATTCATTCAAACACATTCCACCTGTAACCCCCCCCCCCCCATGAGATGGAACGTCTCGCGTGAGCACGGGCTGTGTGCACGGGTTGTGTGCACGGGTTGTGTGCACGGGTTGTGAGCACGGGTTGTGTGCACGGGTTGTGTGCACGGGTTGTGTGCACGGGTTGTGTGCACGGGTTGTGTGCACGGGTTGTGTGCACGGGTTGTGTGCACGGGTTGTGTGGCCAGGGCCGCGTCGATTGTGACACGCGCACGCGTCACGGGTCGCGTCCGTGACAAAATTGACGACGAATTATTCGAGTCCGAGCTGCCCCGTGACCTCACTGGCCGTGAACTCACTCAGATGAGATGCCAGGATCTCAGCGGTGCCGGCTCACGTCATCTGACACGGCCATTATGAAATAAACTCCATCGGGCCCCCCACCACGTGTGTGTCACCCCCCCCCCCCATTCCGTCACCCCCACACGCACTACCCCTGACCCCGTCACTCCCACACACACTGCCCCCGACCCCGTCACCCCCACACACACTACCCCCGACCCCGTCACCCCCACACACACTACCCCCGACCCCGTCACCCCTACACACACTGCCCCCGACCCCGTCACCCCCACACACACTACCCCCGACCCCGTCACCCCCACACACACTACCCCCGACCCGTCACCCCCACACACACTACCCCCGACCCCGTCACCCCCACACACACTACCCCCGACCCCGTCACCCCCACACACACTACCCCCGACCCCGTCACCCCTACACACACTACCCCCGACCCCGTCACTCCCACACACACTACCCCTGACCCCGTCACCCCCACACACACTACCCCCGACCCCGTCACCCCCACACACACTGCCCCCGACCCCGTCACCCCCACACACACTGCCCCCGACCCCGTCACCCCCACACACACTACCCCCGACCCCGTCACCCCCACACACACTACCCCCGACCCGTCACCCCCACACACACTACCCCCGACCCCGTCACCCCCACACACACTACCCCCGACCCCGTCACCCCCACACACACTACCCCCGACCCCGTCACCCCTACACACACTGCCCCCGACCCCGTCACCCCCACACACACTACCCCCGACCCCGTCACCCCCACACACACTACCCCCGACCCGTCACCCCCACACACACTACCCCCGACCCCGTCACCCCCCACACACACTACCCCCGACCCCGTCACCCCCACACACACTCCCCCCGACCCCGTCACCCCCACACACACTCCCCCCGACCCCGTCACTCCCACACACACTACCCCTGACCCCGTCACCCCCACACACACTACCCCCGACCCCGTCACCCCCACACACACTCCCCCCGACCCCGTCACCCCCACACACACTGCCCCCGACCCCGTCACCCCCACACACACTACCCCCGACCCCGTCACCCCCACACACACTGCCCCCGACCCCGTCACCCCTACACACACTACCCCTGACCCCGTCACCCCCACACCCACTACCCCCGACCCCGTCACTCCCACACACACTGCCCCCGACCCCGTCACCCCCACACACACTACCCCCGACCCCGTCACCCCCACACACACTACCCCCGACCCCGTCACCCCCACAGGAGTACGCGGCCACCGTCTACGAGCAGCACCAGGCCGTAGTGACCATGGACGGCTTCTCGTTGGCGCTGCAGGTGATGGACACGGCAGGTACGGGCGCGAGTGCACTCACTATCAGCTGGTACACACACACCTGTGTGGTTGTGTACACTATCAGCTGGTACACACACACACCTGTGTGGTTGTGTACACTATCAGCTAGTACACACACACCTGTGTGGTTGTGTACACTATCAGCTGGTACACACACACCTGTGTGGTTGTGTACACTATCAGCTGGTACACACACACCTGTGTAGTTGTGTACACTATCAGCTGGTACACACACACCTGTGTGGTTGTGTACACTATCAGCTGGTACACACACACACACCTGTGTAGTTGTGTACACTATCAGCTGGTACACGCACACACACCTGTGTGGTTGTGTACACTATCAGCTGGTACACACACCCCTGTGTGGTTGTGTACACTATCAGCTGGTACACACACACCTGTGTGGTTGTGTACACTATCAGCTGGTACACACACACCTGCGTGGTTGTGTACACTATCAGCTGGTACACACACACCTGTGTGGTTGTGTACACTATCAGCTGGTACACGCACACCTGTGTGGTTGTGTACACTATCAGCTGGTACACGCACACACCTGCGTGGTTGTGTACACTATCACCTGGTACACACACACCTGTGTGGTTGTGTACACTATCAGCTGGTACACGCACACACCTTTGTACACAAAGAGCTGATACTGCCCATGACATAAAATGTCCTAAAACATCACCAACGTATTCACCCACTCATCCACTCAATCATTCACTCACCTACCATCTCATCCGCCAACTCATTCACCCACTTATCCACTCACTCACTCTTACAAATGAAGCCATCCTTACTTCTCGACTTCTCACCTGTTAGAACAAAATCAACTTGAAATTTGAACCAACGCATCTATGCACAACCACCACCACCACCGCAGTACCGCGTGGACACCACGTGGAAGGGTGGGTCTGGCTGGCGTTCCACCATCGTCGTTCGGGATAAACTCGGCACTGCATGAACAGTACACATACAAGTACACGTGCATGTGTAAGGTGTACTGCATGGATAGTGCGTGCGATACACTGCAAGGGAGCGGTAAGTGGAGGCCCGCTACGAACCCGGCGACCCGAGTTCGATTCCCGCTCACGGCAAACACAATTATTTGAGCCGGTCCTGAGCCTCCCCTAGGTCGACTCAGCCTCAAATAAGTTCCTGGTGCGGTGTCTATAAAACATCGCCACAAAGGCGGCCGGGCGTGGTGCTGGCCTCACACCCCCTCGTGTGCCGTGCAGGCCTTCATAGGTGCTCGCTAACAGCACTTCTGTTTGTGCAATACGGGGGATATTTGTCTTTGTTTGGATACCCACATCAGATGGGGGGCCCACCCGGTCTGTCCGGGTCACGGTAGAGCCGGTTTTTATCGCCGGATCTGCCGCTTGGGATTCATCGCTGAGCGCAAACGGTGAATGCGTGCAGCACGCGTGAGTGTGTGGGCGGTGGTTGTTGTGGGGAGCGATAGTGTAGCGATTCGCGCGCTGCGCTACGAACCCACCCGTCCGGGTTCGATTCCAGATCACAGTCAAAACCAGTGACGATTATCTGAACCGGTCCATGGGCATCTCCGCTAGATCGACTCAGCCTCAAATGAGTATCTGGTCCGGTGTGTAAAACATCGCCGCTGGGGAGACAAAGGCGGTCGGGCGTAGTGCTGGCCACAGACCCCCCTCGTGTGCCGTGCCGGCCTTCATAGGTGAACCCTTCTTTGACCCCCTTTGTGAGAGCTACGGGGGTGAAATTATCACGACTTCGTGCGCGGTCAACGGGAGATCTTATATTACGGTCACTGGCTGCGGCCATGGGAATTTCCACGACTTGCTCACCGGGAGCAGCTCGCCCACGTGATGAGCTGCGCATGTGTTCCAGCAGCAGCTGTGTCAAGGATGAGGATCCGATCATTCGGATTTTTTTGTTTTACTTTATTGTCACAGATTTTGCATTTGTGAAGTCAAGTACCCATCTATGGGGCCTTGACCTTTCAATACTTTGCTTCCACATTGCTCCCAGTACCAGCACACACGGTGTTGTTTGCGTGTTTGATGTGTGATGCATGTGTGTGGGTAGGTCTTTGATGTGTCAACGTGTGTGTGTGTGTTTTGTACGTGTGTCAAAATGTATGTGAAGTGTGTGCATGTATGTGTGTAGGTCTGTGATGTGTCAACGTATGTGTGTGTGTGTGTTTTGTACGTGTGTCAAAATGTGTGTGCATGTATGTGTGTAGGTCTTTGATGTGTCAACGTATGTGTGTGTTTTGTACGTGTGTCAAAATGTGTGTGATGTGTGTGCATGTATGTGTGTAGGTCTTTGATGTGTCAACGTATGTGTGTGTGTGTGTTTTGTACGTGTGTCAAAATGTGTGTGATGTGTGTGCATGTATGTGTGTAGGTCTTTGATGTGTCAACGTATGTGTGTGTGTGTTGTGTACGTGTGTCAAAATGTGTGTGATGTGTGTGCATGTATGTGTGTAGGTCTTTGATGTGTCAACGTATGTGTGTGTGTTTTGTACGTGTGTAAAAATTTATGTGATGTGTGTGCATGTATTTGTGTAGGTCTTTGATGTGTCAACGTATGTGTGTGTGTGTGTTTTGTACGTGTGTCAAAATGTGTGTGATGTGTGTGCATGTATGTGTGTGGGTCTTTGATGTGTCAACGTATGTGTGTGTGTGTTTTGTACGTGTGTCAAAATGTGTGTGATGTGTGTGCATGTATGTGTGTAGGTCTTTGATGTGTCAAAATGTGTGCGCGTGCGCCATAGCCACCCACCCCCGTAGGTGGACTCAGCCTCAAATGACTATCTGGTGTGGTGAAATGTCAAAGGCGATATGAAAATATCGGCTCTGGGGAGACAAAGGCGGCCGCGCGCGTGCTTGTCAGTCAACTGCTGGACGACGGCTTCTACACAGCGTCGTTTTGAGCATACTGAGGCACTCTGGTCAGTGCAGGATTTGTGAAGCCGGCGTCCGAGAAAACCGGTTCAGAAATGACACTCCACGAGTCCGGCACGGCGCACTCACGCCCGGCCGCCTTTGTCTCCCCACTGGTGATGCTCGCACGTCGCACCAGGTACTCAAGTCAAAGTCGACTCGATCCAGGACCGATTTCAGAAATTCGCTTCAATTGCCGTTATGCGTGAGCGGGAAACTGAACTCAATTTCGTTCGCTGGGTGCGTAGCGCGCAGTGCGCTAACCGCTGCACCACCGCTCCAAACCATCCCACCACCCCCATTCCCCATTGCACACGTACAGCTGTAGCAGGCGGTACCGCGTGGGTGTGAGAGTACCGCGTGCGAGCAGAGCCGCAGCGGTGAACGCTCCTCGACGCGTTTCCGATTTCTCGCCACAGAACGCGTATCAGCACTTCCTCCGTGCTCGCTACCACTGCTGCTGGCCGTAGGCTCTGTGGCAGGTGTGGCACCTATCGGCGGTCTTCCGCTGCCCCGTGCCAATCTCTCCCGCCCCCCCCCTCCCCCGCCAGGAGAGCCTCACCGAGTGCCAAGACTAGTTCGAGGAGGGTCCTGCTCAATTCGTCCGGGACACTGTTGCAGAAGTTGTTTTAGCATTAGGGGGCCGTCCGTAAATGACGTCACGCGATTTTGGACGATTTTTGACCCCCCCCCCCCCCATCGTCACACGGCGTCACAAAAAGTCAGACCCCCCTCAAATATGACGTCACAAAGCTCTGCCCCTCCCCCCCCCCAAACCATATTTCCATTTTAAAAATAAAACATGCTTCAAATCGCTTTAAAGCTTTCGTGACTGCAGGGATTCATATTCTTGGTTCTTTCGGAAAAGTCACCACGTAGAAGGGAAATAATAAAATCATAAAATTATAAACATTATACAATTCTCACGACGTTTCGGCCACAACGCGAGCAGCTCACCTGTGCACCCCGCCCCCCACCACTACCCCCCCCCCTCTTCTCCCGCCCCCCCCCCTCCCGGCGTCGAGCAGGCCAGGAAGACTACGATCGCCTTCGGCCCCTCTGCTATAACGGAGCCAGCGTTGTGCTGCTCTGCTATGACGTCATGTGTCCCACCAGCTTCGACAACATCGTCCAGAAGGTGATGCAGGGCACCGCAGTTGCAAAGGGGGGTCCACAGGGTCAAAGTGACGGGCAGAATCGTGGTGGCCGGGTGAATCGTGGTGGGGGGGGGGGGGGGTCAGACAACTGAGACGACACCGCCGAGACGCTGGGCTACGAGGCGGTCGTCAATGGCAGAGAAGAACGGAGAGACGCGCAATTTGGAATGACACCGAGAGACGGGAAGACGCGTCCACGCGTCGGAGACCCTCACGCGAGTTCGAGACGTCGTCTTGACCTTTAGGGGCAACCAAGGCCGTAATTATAATATATATTGGGGGGGGGGGGACACATCCCCTCCAAATAATCAAATATGCTCAAAATGTCCCCCCCCCACAATATATTGCTCTAAAATGTTTTTAGACATTATAATTTCGATGCTATGTTAATCAAAACAACAATTTGATAAACCTTAGCCACAAAATCTGGACTTGTCTTCATATAACAATGGCATAGATTTCTGTTTATATGATTGTGGTTATGGTTGTACTTTATTAAATCCCTAATCGCTGCCATTACATACAATGAAACAAGAAAAGCTAAACAAGTAAAAACAGAGCAATGTAAATACAATACCACTATTAGACATTATTGTACAAAATAAAGAAAAAGTCCATCCCATGTGTAAGTGAATTTTTGTTAAATATTTTAGGCAGGAAATTAGTTTTCAAATTTAGATGTTTTTTTTTCTGGGGGGGGGTCCCCAGACCCCCTGGAAGTTTGGTCCCCCCCCCCAATGTTGACTCCATGACTACGGCCTTGGGGACAAGACACGTGCATGGGCGTTGGGCAGGAGGCTTCGCTCGGAGGGATCGCTGACCGGTGGTCGAGACGAACGACGGAACGGCAGCCAAAGGAGGAGGACGCACGAGAGAGAGAGAGGGCGTAGGAGCACGGAGATGGAGCGATAAAATCGGCTCGTGTGCAGAATTGACTGAGAGATCTGTGCATCGTGAGGCCGCAGGAGATGGCTACGACTTGGGGAGGTGTTAATCCGACAGCGGATAGATCTTGGCTGATGATGATGATCCTTGGATGTGCTGAGTAACTGATGATTCCTGTTCTAGTGGAACCCAGAGATGAGACACTTTTGTCCCGGGGTGCCCTCGTTCCTCATTGGCTGCAAGACGGATCTACGCAAGGATCGAGAAAAGGTTCGCAAGCTGCGCAGTGGGGGCCAGGAGCCAATCACGTACAAGCAGGTGAGCTACCAGCCAATCGCGCGAAGAGCCGGTGTGTTAGCACGTGGGAGCAGGTGAGCCGCCAGCCAATCACCTGAGAGCAGGTGTGTGAGCGGATGACCAGGACAGCGATCAGCTAATCACGTGCAAGTAGGTGAGTGATGATTCATTCACGTGGAAGTTGGTTTTACGATTAGAAACATGCAGGTCAGTGATCAGCCAATCGCGTACAAGCGAGACACCAATCAGCTAATCAGTAATGTGATCACAACATTAACGACACATGAGGCCCACCCTCCCGCGTGACGTCACTCCACATGAGGCCCACCCCCCCCTTCTTAATAAATATTCCTGCCCGCGTGGAAATTTACACTCACGCACAAGAAGGTCGCGCACTCCACATGCCGCACCCCTCCACAATAACCATGAGGGGGTGACGTCACTCCACATGCCGCACCCCTCCACAATAACCATGAGGGGGTGACGTCACTCCACATGCCGCACCCCTCCACAATAACCATGAGGGGGTGACGTCACTCCACATGCCGCACCCCTCCCCAATAACCATTAGCCGGTGACGTCACTCCACATGGGCCAACCCCCCCTCATTAATAATCATGAGCCGAACAATTTTTCTATTGAATATTTCAGCTTTACTGCAATATACACCCGTCCTTGGACAGGCAAAAAAGCTAGTGTCTATATAGACGGCTTTAATCGAGAGTTCACTTTGTGTGTGCGTGTTGATGCATTTACGCAAAACAAAGACATACATCCCCCGTATAGCCTTCAGCAGACCGTTTGGGGGCAAGTGCTGTTAGCGAGACAGCACCGATGAAGGCCGGAACGGCACACGATGGGGTGGGTGGCCACCACCACGCCCGGCCGCCTTTGTCTCCCCAGTGGCGACGTTTAAACACCGCACCAGGTACTCAATTGCGGCCGAGTCGACATAGGGAAGGCCCAGAACCGGTTCAGATAATCGTCACCGGCGTTCGGCGGTGAGCGGGAACCGAACTCGGGTCGCCGGGGGTTCGTAGCTCAGCGCGCTAACCGCTGCGCCACCGCTCCCACGGCCTGACTCTCACGCGCGGGCGCTCTGCCCTGGCGGCGTAGGGGGCCGCCCTGGCCAAGGAAGTGGAGGCGCGCGACTACATCGAGTGCTCGGCCAAGGACCGCGACAACGTGGAGACCATCTTCAAGGAGGCGGCCTCCGCGGCCCTCCAGGAGCGGGCGGCGCTGCGCACCGCCTCCAAGAGGCGGCGATTCAAGGCCTGCACTCTGCTCTGAGCGCAGGCCTTGAGTCGCCGCCTCCAAGAGGCGGCGATTCAAGGCCTGCGGCGATTCAAGGCCTGCGCTCTGCTCTGAGCGCAGCGGCCCGAACGCCGCGGTGATCCCGCCGCGTGTGGCGGGCCGCCCCCCCCCCCCCACCTGCTACCCCCCCCTCCCCCTCCCACAGCGTCTAAGGACCCCGCAGTGGCTGCCGCTACTCGCGAGCATCCCGACATGTGACATGGGACACCCGACGGGAGGCTGCTGCTGCTGATGTCTCAAGAAGACCTTGAGACCTCCGAATCTCCCCCCCCCCAACCCACCCACTCCTCCCTCTGAATCGTATCGACGTCATATCCGAACCAATACCACCACCCACCACCCACCCACCACAACATCGCGTGTGTGAAAGTCCAGACGTCCGTTCCGGACACGTTCCTCGAGTCGTCTGCAAGCCGAGAGGGACCTCTATGCTACCCCTCTGCTGCCCCGTCACCGAGAGGACTCCCAGACTTCCGCAGGGCAGCAGCAGGCATCGCCAGCGTTTGTTCACGCGAGCCTGACCCTGACCCTGCTGCTGCTATCGTTGTTGTTGAGAACATTGAGTGTCGAAACCGGTCCAGCGCTCGATTGTTTTGAACTAATTAGCTTCTGAAATTGTTCGCTCCCAGGAGGCCGCGCGCGGCTGATGGGGATGTGTAAAAAAAAGTTTATATATTTTTACGTGGAGGGAGAGATACGGGAGGGAGGCGAATTATTTCATTATTATTTATTTGGTGCCTCCACAACAAATCAACCTGGGAAAACCGGGACAGGTGGCAACCCGAGTGGGGTGGTGGAGATCGAGATGGGAGTGGGAGGGGCGTGCCAAGGATCTAAACTATTTTCTTTTTATTATTCTACCAGGTAAGGCCCACCGATCTTTGTAGCTCTTTGTCAGAAGCGACCTGGCCACAAACGACAGCTCAACGAAGTGGCTCATCGCGTGTAAATTTAAAGCAGTAGCCAAATATTCCGGCTGGACAACCTTCGGATGGCGGCTGTGAGCGACCCGGAGCGAATGCGGACAGCGTTGCCATTCTGTAAACAGCAAACAGCAGCAAAGTGGCGGTGTGAGACCCGAAAGTCGTGTAGAGAGGAGACCCGGAGGCCCAGCCAGAGACACGACGACTCGCGTGGAGACCCACGTGGGCGAGCGTGGTCGGAATGGGCCCTTGCTGCAAGGATTGAAATTGGGCCCCTTGCTGCCTCAATCTCGCCTCTTATCCGTCACGTGACACCCGGGTCCCTCTGGGGTGCAGTGCCCCCCCCCCCCCCCCGGTGCAGTTGCACCGCCTGCGCACTCGATAGCTACGCTACTGATAAGCAGGGTGGGTGGGTGGAAACCCCCCACCTCCACCCTTCAGTGTACAGCCCCGCGACGGGGCTGAGATGAAGAGCAAAAACCCTCTGGAGGAAGTCACGGCGCAACGGGCTACTATGCTACTGCTGCGGCATCTGTCAGAAGGAAGGAAGCGATGACCCTGAGCCCCTTCCAAGCTACCAATCGGAGGGGCGGGGAGAGGGGGGGGGGAGGACGCGTGGATGATCTGGATGATCACTGACGGTCACTGATCGTGAGCCAGGAGCGTCAAAGCGCGCGGACTTTCTCCAACGCGTCCACTGTGACGAAGACGGCGGTGCTGCGGAGCTACCCGCACCACCACGCACCCCTCGTCACAGCCCGTGCCCACCCCCCCCCAGCAGCCCTGTAGAGGCCCCGTGGTGCAGAGCTCGCTGTGGCCCGGGTACTGAACACGTGGCAGGAGCAGCGGCAGAGGAGGAGTTTCGCGTAGCAACGTTTTTTTAAAAATCGACCGTCAATACTCTCTTGTACTTGGTCATTATTTATCACGGGCGCACACTATAGCTGCGTTTTTATTATTACAAAACAAGTATTGTGTTCATATTCTTTGGTTCTTTCGGTAAAGTCACGTATATAGAAAAAAAAAATACAAATAAAGTAAATAAATTTATTTTTAAAAATTTTTTTGTGTTTTTCTTTATTATTTTTTTATTTCGATCTACGTGGCTTTACCGAAAAAAAACCAAAGAAGATGAATTCCTGCAGTCACGAAAGTTTTAAGTCGAAATGTAAAGTATTGTGTTGTGGCGTGAATACAACTTGTGTTGACACTGTGGGGGGTGCTGCTTTGCCTAACGCGCAGTATCGAGCGATTGAAATGTGTGTTCGTTGGTACGGGCACGGCACGTACCATACATCCGGTGGTACGTGTGGCTGAAGTCATCATCATTAGCAGCATCAACCTCATTACCATCATCAGCACCATCAACTTCATCATCAGCAGCAATATCATCAGCAACATTAGGATCATCAGCAGTAATATCATCAGGATTATTAGCACTAACATCGCGCATCATCAGCAGGAAAGTTTAGTGAACAGCATCAATCTCATTATCGGCAGCTGCATCATCATCATCACCATAAGCCCCATTAAGATTGTAATCAACAGCAGCCATATCTGGCAGGACCAGTAGCAGCAGCAGCAGCATGAACCCTCGTTAGCAGCAACATCTTCGTGACCTATCTATTAGCAGCGTCATCATTATCAGCAGCTGTAGCGTCATCAGCGTCATCGTCGTCTTCATCACGACGATGTGTTCATATCAAAGCTGAGAGGCGAATAAAGTTTGCACGGGCCCTGGAGGATCGCCCTTGGGCAGGTGGGAGGTCTGTTTTGGGTCCTCGTGTTGTCGTGAAAAGCCACTCCAAGTCAACAGAGGTCAGCTCAATGGACGAACTGTCTAGCGTCACTGGAATGTGGAATTTCCACCGCAGGGTTAAAAAGGTTGCGCAAACGCCAACGATCGCTGCGATTGGCGCATTACCACGCGCGCACCACGCACTGACTTCCCTGCGTAGACAGCATGAAGACAACAACAATAATAATAATACACCGTTATTTATCCAGAACAGTAGCAATTGAATGTCAAGACTCAAGTTTTCAGGGAGTGGGGGGGGTGTGTCCTGCTCCGCCGGGAATGCATGTCCACTGCGTCTTAGACGACGGCGCGACCTTCGTCTGCGCCCCTCGGTGTGTTAGTTGGGCACAGAAGCTCTATGAAGGGCTGTGAGCAAATAAATAAATAAAGGTTACAATATAATACCTGGTGCATTGCATCGGTGCACACCCCCCCCCCCCCCCCACAAAACATGTAGTTTCACCATCTGTGTGTGTGTGTATATATACGGTGGCGCAGCAGTTAGCGCACCGCTCTGAAAAACCCGGCGACCCGGAGTTCGATTCCCGCTCGCTGCTCAATAACCGTAACGAATATTTGAATCCGTCCTCGATCCCCCCGCGGTGAACTTTGTACCGCGTCAACCCATACGGTGTACACAGAAATTTAGTTTAGATATGTTTAAATACATGTCTACTTGTTTGCGTTTCTCCCTCGTGATGAGAGACTTTTGTAGGATAGACGTTGAGATTTATAAGGGCACCTGGCGCAGTATGTAAATATCGCTACTAGGAAGACAAAGGCGGTCGGGCGTGGTGCTGGCCACCCACCCAACTCGTGATCGGCCTTCATAGGTGCTACTCCCAAATATCTGTTAATGCTATACGGGGCATCTGTGTCTTTGTGTGCAGTATACTGGACGTGTGCGTACTGCCTTGTCATGTGTACTGTTCTGTGTGTACTGTGTGCAAACCACGCCACGGGATGTGGTTTCGCTTCCCACTCTCGTGCCACGCACGGTTCGGAGTTCGTGATTCCATCGCTCACACGGACGTCTCTCGCCTCCTTGCAAGAGACCCAGAACACTGACGGTCCCACCTCCTATTGAAACCCAACTAAAGTTCCATTGAAGCCACTCAACTCCTATTGAAACCACTCAACTCCTATTGAAACATAACTGAAATCCTATCGAAACCCAACAACTCCTATTGAACCCTAACTCAACTCCTATTGAAATCCAACAACGCCTATGGAAACCCAACTCAAATCTTATAGAAACTCAACTCAACTCCTATTGAAACCCAACTCAACTCCTATTGAAACCCAACTCAAACCCTATTGAAACCCAACTGAACTCCCATTGAAACCCAACAACTCCTATTGAAACCCACCTCAAATCCTATAGAAGCTCAACTCAAATCCTATAGAAATCAACTCAAATCCTATTGAAACCCAACTCAACTCCCATTGAAACTCAACTCAACTCCTATTGAAACCACTCAACTCCCATTGAAACCCAACAACTCCTATTGAAACCCAACTCAAATCCTATAGAAGCTCAACTCAAATCCTATTGAAACCCAACTCAAATCCTATAGAAACGCAACTCAACTCCCATTGAAACCCAACAACTCCTATTGAAACCCAACTAAAATCCTATAAAAAATCAGTCTCAAATCGTATAGGAACCCAACTCAACTCCTATAGAAACTCAATTGTGATGCACGTAGAAATAATCAGAATTATTTTTACTTACTGGAGGAATCCGACGTGCTATAAAGTTCTGTTTCACCCTCCTGCACCCCCCCCTCCCCCCGTCCCCTTACTGCGAACCATTGGCAGGACCCTCATTAAAAAAAAGAGTTGTGGTGCCACCGCTCCTCGCACCCCGTCCCCCCCCCCCCCCACGAACGCACGCGCGCCCCACTAAACACTCGCATGCACCCCCGTAGGGTCTCGAGGAGGGATCACGTGGTACGATGGGTTTTCACCCGAGGATCCCACTAGCAGGGACGTTCCACGGTTTCCCCGGACCAGGAAATTGGCTGAGCGCCCCCAGACCGGATTACTTGGCGGCCCCCCCAAAAAGGGGGCATAGAGCTTTACAGGTCGGCCGCGATGAAGCATACACAACACGGGGGATGGTACCCCAAGGCAAGCACCCTGCGGTAGTGTAAACAGTGGAGTGGGAGGGAAAAACCCCTAGGCAAATAAGAGTTGAGTTAAGTTGGAGGGAGCGAGGGGATTATCGATGAGTCAACAGCGAGGGACGCAGGTACAGAGACAATGGGAAGGGGGGGGGATGACGCGACCCCCCCCCCCCCCCCCCCCCAACGGCCAGAGCGCTCAAAACGGCCGCAAAGAGGATTCGATTGGATGAACAGGATGACGTCATATGACCCGGGGGTGAAGGGGTTTTGGGAACATACGGGGGGGGGGGGCAGGAGGAAAAATTGGATCAGAGTTCTTCTGGAAGCGGCGGGAGAGACCAGCCGCCCTCAGCGTCCGTGGGACGCCTGCAGGGTGCAGCTGAAAACGATCGGTCAGAAAAAGTCCCCAAGGCGAGCATCTTCCCCAGCCCCCATCGGGCAACTGAAGAGGTGAGTGGGTACGGAAAAGGGAGGCCAATTCAGTCAGCTCGAGCTTAGGGGATAGACGCACTCTGCGACGGGTAGGTGATAGGAGGAAGGGGTGCTGGCTGGAGGGGGCCATACACGGGGGTCCCTATTCGCTCCGGGAAATAAATCTCAGCACAGACTGAAGTTGTGACGCGTGGTGCACGTGCGTGCGTGTGAAGAGCGGTGGGACAGCGATCGGCGCACGACGGTGTGTGGGTGACTTTAATCGGTATAAGCACGACGCGCGCGTGCACATGCAAATAAATAATTAAATAGAGGGACGCTTCACGCGCAGCGAGTGTAGCGCGGCAGAGATTAATTAATTGATTCCGAGCGCCGTTCGCCTTGTTGACACAACGGCTTAGTGGAAATAATTTATTAACTCTAAACAGCCGCGAGTGGGGGTGGAGGGGGCTGACGTCGCACCCCACCCGCTCGCGGGGAGGGGGAGATCAGCCCCCACGTAATGGCGAGTGGGGAGGGGGAGATCAGCCCCCACGTAATGGCGAGTGGGGAGGGGGGCATTAGCCCCCACAGAGTCACGCGCCACTGTGGATCTTTCCGGGGCAAACAAACAAAATAATAATACTACTGATAAGTTTTGTGTGACCCAGGTGGTGAGCCACACCACAAGGCCAGCGGAGCGAGCAAGCAAGAGCGAGCGAGCGACCTGGGGGGGGGGGGGGGGGGCGTTAGTCTGCTGCCAGTAGGGAGGAAGGGGGGGGGGGCGATGGTTGCCGATGCTTCGTGTGCGCCCGCGCGGCTGTCCCCGAGTGAGCGAGCAGCAGCAGCCAGCAGCAGCCAGCGGCGTCATCTTGGGAACTTGGCGACTCTTGAACCCGAGGGCAGTCGCCGCGTAGTTGGCCAACGCCCCCGCCGGCGACGTCGCGGCGATTGCACGGACAGCGAGTATTTAACGGGAGCAGCCGCCGGGTTCGAACCACCTCCCGCAACGAGAGGCGAACCGCGATACCGGGGGGAGCCGCGTCCCAGCACTCCCCCGCCCCCCACAACCCCCACCCGTTTTCATCTCAGTCCGAGGATTCGCGCTGCAGCGTTCGTCTGCTGCCCGCAGAGTGAAGCCCCACAGCAGCCTATAGCACCTGGGTGTGCGCGCCGGTGGTGGCCTGGCCAGGCAGCTTGAACCGAGAGGCGGCGAGGTCAGGCGGTGAACCTGAACGCTCCTCTTTGTTGAGCCATCATCAATTTGGCTCTGGAACGTTCTTCCACGGGACATAATCACAGGGCTCTCGGAGTCTGTGGACTTTTTTTGTTATAAATGCGCCTTAAAACCTATTTATACGTTTCCGCTTGTTAAACCTTTAGTTCGTTTGGTAAATGATTCTTGACATGTATTTATATTATTATTTATGCTGAGCGTCTGCTGCTGCTGCTGCTGTGTCCTGTATAGCGCTTTGAGACCCTTGATGAAAAGCGCTCTATAAATGTCATTATTATTATCATTTGTGGCCAGGTCGCTTTTTGAACAATAAGTTAATACCTCAGTGGGCCTTGTCCGATAGGACGGGGATGGTTTAGTGTTGTACTCGTACGTGTTGGGTGGTTTGTTCACTTTTCTTGTACTTTGCACTCCCCTATCGTGTTTTCGTAACTGTTGTTCTAACGTTCTTACCCCGTGCCTCCGACTGGACATGTGAAAAGGAGCTTTGTAGCTCATCGGATTCCGATTCACGGCCCCCCTGTTTACTGCGTGGGGAGGGTGGGACAAGCACAAATGACAGGCTCGCTTAATTGACACGCATTGCGAAAAAGTGAACTTTATTGCCGAGACGGTGGGTTCCCCCCTGGGGCCTGGTGGCGTCGGCGGTGGTGGCGGTGGCAGTGCTGGTGTGGTGGTGGTGGAGTTGGTGTTGTGGTGGTGTTGCGAGAGTTGGGGGTGGTGAAAGCGATGTGGTAGTGGTGACGACGACAATGATGATGATGATGGTGTCGGTGGTGGTTGGTGTGGTGGCCAGTGTGTGTTGGCCAGTGTGTGTGTGTGCGCGCGCGTGAGGAGCGGTAGTGCAGCGGTTATCACGCTGCGCTACAAATCCGACGATCCGACTTTGATTCCTGACCACGGCCAATATCAGTGCCGAGTGACATCCAAATCGGTCCTACTCATAGAATGGAATTTTGGTTTAAGCATCCCCCCCCCTCCCCACCCAATTACTGCTCCTCCTCTTACTGCTGCTCCTCCACTTGCTGGCTCCTCTTGTTGCTGTTGCCGTTGATGCTTTTAATGCTGCTCAAGACTCGGATGCTGCTTCAGTTCCTCTTGATACTGTTGTTGTAGCGGCTCGTTGTTGTTGCAGCTCGTTGTGGTGGCTCGTTGTTGTGGTGGCTCGTTGTGGTGGCTCTTGTTGTTGTTGTAGAGGCTTCTCTTGTTGCTGTTGCTGCCGTGTCATGTTCTCTTGTGCCGAGTGTATCTCTCGCGCATTTTCGAGGACACCACCTTGAGGGTTGTGAAGAAGTTTCCGATGAAGAGGACGAAGAAGACAAGCGCCTCCACGTGCACCTGGAGGAGACACGGAAGACAAAGATCCCCCCCCCGTAGGCCGTTACAGTTGAGATTACACACCGCGCCCCGGATTAACCGTCAACGTATGCATACGTCATCGGAACGGAATCGGGAAGAAGAATTCGGATGTCTTCATTGGCACCGAGGCTCCCACAAGGCCGGGCGGGGAGGGGGCTTGCGGCACGGTTAGGCGGCAGCTATCGTAGAGTGGCGGCGGTCGCGTCGCTACAGTTCTGTGCGGCGAGTAACAATGTCTTTCAGCAAAAACAACGGCGCCACTCCGCCTCTCGACAAAATTCATCGGTGAATGGGACCCACCCCACCCTGAAACTTGCAGAAGTCTCGGAAGAGGAAAGGGGTTTAGTCACGGTGGCGTGCGCTCCATTAGAACCACGAACCACCGCAACAAGCAGCGATTACTCCAGCGCTGGGCGGCGTCGTGTCACGAGGCCGTGCCTGTTCACACGCGCACGTCATCATCGCCGTGAATCCGTGCCGATGAACTTGACTATGAACCGACGTTAAAAGTTAACTTCAGTTACAGGAAATACAGTTCGTTTAACAGTCGTTAATGTTTGCACCTCTGTCAACCTCTCGCGTAGCGCGGTTATTTTTGCGCCGACTGCCATTTGCTTCACTGTTGTACGTCGTGTTGCCAACGTTCGTGCTTTCGTCATCCTGGTGCCCCCCCCCCCCCCACTCCTTCCAGGGGTCATGCTTGCAAACGAAGACTTCCCCCTCTGCGGCTCTCTGGAGCCCTCACCTGGTCAAACAAAATCAACCCGAACTCATTCGAACACTGGCCCCAGGATAACGCGGACAGCTCTCGCAAAATCTCGCTGTCCGGGAAAAGCAGCCAGCCCCCCCCCCCCCCACCTTTGTGGCCGGAGTCTCAGAGGTGGCTCGGTGATATCCGCTTCTGCGGGCCATTCTCTCACGTGAAGGGTCGCGCTGCTCGGCGAAACATTTCCGAATGGATTGTGCTCGTGACGACGTGACACGTGCGATTATTTATTTATATCTGAAGAGCGTCGCATGGGCTTGCCGGTGCCCCCACCCCCCACCCTCACCCCCCACCCTCACCCCCCACCCTCACCCCCCACCCTCACCCCTCACCCTCACCCCCCACCCTCACCCCCCACCCTCACCCCCCACCCTCACCCCCCACCCTCACCCCTCACCCCCCACCCTGTGACTTCAAACCCGGAGCCTCACCTGCCACTCACGACACTGCGGCGACAGGGACATGTGGTAGAGCGTGTAGCTGTTGTACAGCTGCCAGAACTGCGAGACACACACACGTGGTGGGGTGGGGGGGGTGTGGAGCGACATGTCAGCGGTGCCACGGTGCAGTGTTGACGCGGTGCGGCGATACCGCAGTGCCGTAGTGCTGTAGTACCGCGGTGTGGTGCCGTGGCGCGCTGCCGTGGTGCCGTGGTGCAGCTCTGCTGTGGTGCCGCAGCGCTGCGTCACACCCTACCCCTCCCATCGAGGGTTTCTCGTGAACTCGCCCACGGCGCGGACCCCCGAACTTGTGAAAAATTCATTCCGCGCTGCTACGCCCACCGCTCCTACTGCACGCGCCGTGTGATCGCTCAATGCGTCCCACGTGCAGTGGACCAGTGCTGTTATTTACGGTGGATTACGATGGTGGTTTGAATGTGGGTTTGATGATTGTAGCGGTGGTTGACTTACTGATATGTGGCAAACAATGACGGTCAGTTGATTTATTCATGACGATCGTTTCGATTGCTGGCTGCAAATTGTTCAAGTGCGGAGGAGGCAGTGAAGGAGTAGGCGGAGGAGTTCGTGGTGGTGGTGGTGGTGTTTATTTTATATACGGAATGGAGAGGGAGCTCAGGACCTGACAGCGGGGGCGACGTGCGGGGCTAGCGGAGGGCACGACTCACGTGGCCGAAGAAGAGGAAGGGGATGATGAAGGCGAGGCCCCGCCACATCCACGACTGGAACCCCTCTGAGCGGGGGAGAAGGAGCAGAGGGTCGGGCACAACGACCGCCGTGACAGTCCATCGTCATCACCGTCGACACGGGTCTATGGATCTGCGAGTCTGCGGGGCTCCTTGCAAGTCTGTGGGTCTCGATGCGAGTCTGTGGGTCTCCTTGCAAGTCTGCGGGTCTCTGTGTGAGTCTGTGGGTCTCTGTGTGAGTCTGTGGCTCTCTATGCAAGTCTGTGGGTCTCTATGCGACTCTGTAGATCTCAATGTGAGTCTATGGGTCTCTGTGAGTCTGTGGGTCTCTATATGAGTCTGCGGGTTTCTAGGTGAATCTGTGGGTTTCGATGCGAGTCTGTGGGTCTCTATGCGAATCTGTGGGTCTCTATGCGTGTCTGTGGGTCTCGATGCGAGTCGGTGGGGCTCTATGCGAGTCTGTGGGTCTCGATGCGTGTCTGTGGGTCTCGATGCGAGTCTGTGGGGCTCTATGCGAGTCTGTGGGTCTCTATGCGAGTCTGTGGGTCTCGATGCGAGTCTGTGGGTCTCGATGCGAGTCTGTGGGTCTCTATGCGAGTCTGTGGGTCTCGATGCGAGTCTGTAGGTCTCGATGCGAGTCTGTGGGTCTCGATGCGAGTCTGTGGGTCTCTGTGTGAGTCTGTGGGTCTCTATGTGAGTCTGTAGGTCTCTATGCGAGTCTATGGATCTCTATGCGAGTCTGTGGGTATCGATGCGAGTCTGTGGGTCTCTATGCGAGTCTGTGGGCTCTATGCGAGTCTGTGGGTCTCGATGTGAGTCTGTGGGTCTCTATGCGAGTCTGTGGGTCTATCTGCGAGTCTGTGGGTCTATCTGCGAGTCTGTGGGTCTCTATGCATGTCTGTGGGTCTCTATGCGAGTCTGTGGGTCTCTATGCGTGTCTGTGGGTCTCTATGCGAGTCTGTGGGTCTCTATGCGAGTCTGTGGGTCTCGATGCGAGTCTGTGGGTCTCTATGCGAGTCTATGGGTCTCTATGCGAGTCTGTGGGTCTCTATGTGAGTCTGTGGGTCTCCCGGCGACTCTATGGGTCTCTATGCGAGTCTATGGGTCTCTATGCGAGTCTGTGGGTCTTTATGTGAGTCAGTGGGTCTCTATGTGAGTCTGTGGGTCTCGATGCGAGTCTGTGGGTCTCTATGTGAGTCTGTGGGTCTCTATGCGAGTCTGTGGGTCTCTGTGTAAGTCTGTGGATCTCTATGCGAGTCTGTGGGTCTCCTTGCAAGTCTGCGGGTCTCTGTGTGAGTCTGTGGGTCTCTGTGAGTCTGTGGCTCTCTATGCAAGTCTGTGGGTCTCTATGCGACTCTGTGGATCTCAATGTGAGTCTATGGGTCTCTGTGAGTCTGTGGGTCTCTATATGAGTCTGCGGGTTTCTAGGTGAATCTGTGGGTTTCGATGCGAGTCTGTGGGTCTCTATGCGAATCTGTGGGTCTCTATGCGTGTCTGTGGGTCTCGATGCGAGTCGGTGGGGCTATATGCGAGTCTGTGGGTCTCGATGCGTGTCTGTGGGTCTCGATGCGAGTCTGCGGGGCTCTATGCGAGTCTGTGGGTCTCTATGCGAGTCTGTGGGTCTCTATGCGAGTCTGTGGGTCTCGATGCGAGTCTGTGGGTCTCTATGCGAGTCTGTGGGTCTCGATGCGAGTCTGTAGGTCTCGATGCGAGTCTGTGGGTCTCGATGCGAGTCTGTGGGTCTCTGTGTGAGTCTGTGGGTCTTTATGTGAGTCAGTGGGTCTCTATGTGAGTCTGTGGGTCTCTATGTGAGTCTGTGGGTCTCGATCCGAGTCTGTGTGTCTCGATGCGAGTCTATGGGTCTCTATGCGAGTCTGTGGGTCTCGATGTGAGTCTGTGGGTCTCTATGCGAGTCTGTGGGTCTCTGTGTAAGTCTGTGGGTCTCTATGCGAGTCTGTGGGTCTCCTTGCAAGTCTGCGGGTCTCTGTGTGAGTCTGTGGGACTCTGTGAGTCTGTGGCTCTCTATGCAAGTCTGTGGGTCTCTATGCGACTCTGTGGATCTCAATGTGAGTCTATGGGTCTCTGTGAGTCTGTGGGTCTCTATATGAGTCTGCGGGTTTCTAGGTGAATCTGTGGGTTTCGATGCGAGTCGGTGGGTCTCTATGCGAATCTGTGGGTCTCTATGCGTATCTGTGGGTCTCGATGCGAGTCGGTGGGGCTCTATGTGAGTCTGTGGGTCTCGATGCGTGTCTGTGGGTCTCGATGCGAGTCTGTGGGGCTCTATGTGAGTCTGTGGGTCTCTATGCGAGTCTGTGGGTCTCTATGCGAGTCTGTGGGTCTCGATGCGAGTCTGTGGGTCTCGATGCGAGTCTGTGGGTCTCTATGCGAGTCTGTGGGTTCCGATGCGAGTCTGTAGGTCTCGATGCGAGTCTGTGGGTCTCGATGCGAGTCTGTGGGTCTCTGTGTGAGTCTGTGGGTCTCTATGTGAGTCTGTAGGTCTCTATGCGAGTCTATGGATCTCTATGCGAGTCTGTGGGTATCGATGCGAGTCTGTGGGTCTCTATGCGAGTCTGTGGGTCTCTATGCGAGTCTGTGGGTCTCGATGTGAGTCTGTGGGTCTCTATGCGAGTCTGTGGGTCTATCTGCGAGTCTGTGCGTCTATCTGCGAGTCTGTGGGTCTCTATGCATGTCTGTGGGTCTCTATGCGAGTCTGTGGGTCTCTATGCGTGTCTGTGGGTCTCTATGCGAGTCTGTGGGTCTCTATGCGAGTCTGTGGGTCTCGATGCGAGTCTGTGGGTCTCTATGCGAGTCTATGGGTCTCTATGCGAGTCTGTGGGTCTCTATGTGAGTCTGTGGGTCTCCCGGCGACTCTATGGGTCTCTATGCGAGTCTATGGGTCTCTATGCGAGTCTGTGGGTCTTTATGTGAGTCAGTGGGTCTCTATGTGAGTCTGTGGGTCTCGATGCGAGTCTGTGGGTCTCTATGTGAGTCTGTAGGTCTCGATCCGAGTCTGTGTGTCTCGATGCGAGTCTGTGGGTCTCTATGCGAGTCTGTGGGTCTCGATGTGAGTCTGTGGGTCTCTATGCGTGTCTGTGGGTCTCTATGCGTGTCTGTGGGTCTCTATGCGAGTCTGTGGGTCTCTATGCGTGTCTGTGGGTCTCTATGCGAGTCTGTGGGTCTCTATGCGAGTCTGTGGGTCTCTATGCGAGTCTGTGGGTCTCTATGCATGTCTGTGGGTCTCTATGCGAGTCTGTGGGTCTCTATGCGAGTCTGTGGGTCTCTATGCATGTCTGTGGGTCTCTATGCGAGTCTATGGGTCTCTATGCGTGTCTGTGGGTCTCTATGCGAGTCTGTGGGTCTCTATGCGAGTCTGTGGGTCTCTATGCATGTCTGTGGGTCTCTATGCGAGTCTGTGAGTCTCTATGCGAGCCTGTGGGTCTCTATGTGAGTCTGTGGGTCTCCCGGCGACTCTATGGGTCTCTATGCGAGTCTGTAAGTCTCTATGCGAGTCTGTGGGTCTCTATGCGAGTCTGTGGGTCTCTATGCATGTCTGTGGGTCTCTATGCGAGTCTGTGGGTCTCTATGCGAGTCTGTGGGTCTCTATGCATGTCTGTGGGTCTTTATGCGAGTCTATGGGTCTCTATGCGTGTCTGTAGGTCTCTATGCGAGTCTGTGGGTCTCTATGCGAGTCTGTGGGTCTCTATGCATGTCTGTGGGTCTCTATGCGAGTCTGTGGGTCTCTATGCGATTCTGTGGGTCTCTATGCATGTCTGTGGGTCTCTATGCGAGTCTGTGGGTCTCTATGCGAGTCTGCGGGTCTCTATGCATGTCTTTGGGTCTCTATGCGAGTCTGTCGGTCTCTATGCGAGTCTGTGGGTCTCTATGCGAGTCTGTGGGTCTCTATGCGAGTCTGTGGGTCTCTATGCGAGTCTGTGGGTCTCTATGCGAGTCTGTGGGTCTCTATGCGAGTCTGTGGGTCTCTATGCATGTCTGTGGGTCTCTATGCGAGTCTGTGGGTCTCTATGCGAGTCTGTGGGTCTCTATGCATGTCTGTGGGTCTCTATGCGAGTCTATGGGTCTCTATGCGTGTCTGTAGGTCTCTATGCGAGTCTGTGGGTCTCTATGCGAGTCTGTGGGTCTCTATGCGAGTCTGTGGGTCTCTATGCATGTCTGTGGGTCTCTATGCGAGTCTGTGGGTCTCTATGCGATTCTGTGGGTCTCTATGCATGTCTGTGGGTCTCTATGCGAGTCTGTGGGTCTCTATGCGAGTCTGCGGGTCTCTATGCATGTCTGTGGGTCTCTATGCGAGTCTGTCGGTCTCTATGCGAGTCTGTGGGTCTCTATGCGAGTCTGTGGGTCTCTATGCGAGTCTGTGGGTCTCTATGCGAGTCTGTGGGTCTCTATGCGAGTCTGTGGGTCTCTATGCGAGTCTGTGGGTCTCGATGCGAGTCTGTAGGTCTCGATGCGAGTCTGTGGGTCTCGATGCGAGTCTGTGGGTCTCTGTGTGAGTCTGTGGGTCTCTATGTGAGTCTGTAGGTCTCTATGCGAGTCTATGGATCTCTATGCGAGTCTGTGGGTATCGATGCGAGTCTGTGGGTCTCTATGCGAGTCTGTGGGCTCTATGCGAGTCTGTGGGTCTCGATGTGAGTCTGTGGGTCTCTATGCGAGTCTGTGGGTCTATCTGCGAGTCTGTGGGTCTATCTGCGAGTCTGTGGGTCTCTATGCATGTCTGTGGGTCTCTATGCGAGTCTGTGGGTCTCTATGCGTGTCTGTGGGTCTCTATGCGAGTCTGTGGGTCTCTATGCGAGTCTGTGGGTCTCGATGCGAGTCTGTGGGTCTCTATGCGAGTCTGTGGGTCTCTATGCGAGTCTGTGGGTCTCTATGTGAGTCTGTGGGTCTCCCGGCGACTCTATGGGTCTCTATGCGAGTCTATGGGTCTCTATGCGAGTCTGTGGGTCTTTATGTGAGTCAGTGGGTCTCTATGTGAGTCTGTGGGTCTCGATGCGAGTCTGTGGGTCTCTATGTGAGTCTGTGGGTCTCTATGCGAGTCTGTGGGTCTCTGTGTAAGTCTGTGGATCTCTATGCGAGTCTGTGGGTCTCCTTGCAAGTCTGCGGGTCTCTGTGTGAGTCTGTGGGTCTCTGTGAGTCTGTGGCTCTCTATGCAAGTCTGTGGGTCTCTATGCGACTCTGTGGATCTCAATGTGAGTCTATGGGTCTCTGTGAGTCTGTGGGTCTCTATATGAGTCTGCGGGTTTCTAGGTGAATCTGTGGGTTTCGATGCGAGTCTGTGGGTCTCTATGCGAATCTGTGGGTCTCTATGCGTGTCTGTGGGTCTCGATGCGAGTCGGTGGGGCTATATGCGAGTCTGTGGGTCTCGATGCGTGTCTGTGGGTCTCGATGCGAGTCTGCGGGGCTCTATGCGAGTCTGTGGGTCTCTATGCGAGTCTGTGGGTCTCTATGCGAGTCTGTGGGTCTCGATGCGAGTCTGTGGGTCTCTATGCGAGTCTGTGGGTCTCGATGCGAGTCTGTAGGTCTCGATGCGAGTCTGTGGGTCTCGATGCGAGTCTGTGGGTCTCTGTGTGAGTCTGTGGGTCTTTATGTGAGTCAGTGGGTCTCTATGTGAGTCTGTGGGTCTCTATGTGAGTCTGTGGGTCTCGATCCGAGTCTGTGTGTCTCGATGCGAGTCTATGGGTCTCTATGCGAGTCTGTGGGTCTCGATGTGAGTCTGTGGGTCTCTATGCGAGTCTGTGGGTCTCTGTGTAAGTCTGTGGGTCTCTATGCGAGTCTGTGGGTCTCCTTGCAAGTCTGCGGGTCTCTGTGTGAGTCTGTGGGACTCTGTGAGTCTGTGGCTCTCTATGCAAGTCTGTGGGTCTCTATGCGACTCTGTGGATCTCAATGTGAGTCTATGGGTCTCTGTGAGTCTGTGGGTCTCTATATGAGTCTGCGGGTTTCTAGGTGAATCTGTGGGTTTCGATGCGAGTCGGTGGGTCTCTATGCGAATCTGTGGGTCTCTATGCGTATCTGTGGGTCTCGATGCGAGTCGGTGGGGCTCTATGTGAGTCTGTGGGTCTCGATGCGTGTCTGTGGGTCTCGATGCGAGTCTGTGGGGCTCTATGCGAGTCTGTGGGTCTCTATGCGAGTCTGTGGGTCTCTATGCGAGTCTGTGGGTCTCGATGCGAGTCTGTGGGTCTCGATGCGAGTCTGTGGGTCTCTATGCGAGTCTGTGGGTTCCGATGCGAGTCTGTAGGTCTCGATGCGAGTCTGTGGGTCTCGATGCGAGTCTGTGGGTCTCTGTGTGAGTCTGTGGGTCTCTATGTGAGTCTGTAGGTCTCTATGCGAGTCTATGGATCTCTATGCGAGTCTGTGGGTATCGATGCGAGTCTGTGGGTCTCTATGCGAGTCTGTGGGTCTCTATGCGAGTCTGTGGGTCTCGATGTGAGTCTGTGGGTCTCTATGCGAGTCTGTGGGTCTATCTGCGAGTCTGTGGGTCTATCTGCGAGTCTGTGGGTCTCTATGCATGTCTGTGGGTCTCTATGCGAGTCTGTGGGTCTCTATGCGTGTCTGTGGGTCTCTATGCGAGTCTGTGGGTCTCTATGCGAGTCTGTGGGTCTCGATGAGAGTCTGTGGGTCTCTATGCGAGTCTATGGGTCTCTATGCGAGTCTGTGGGTCTCTATGTGAGTCTGTGGGTCTCCCGGCGAGTCTGTGGGTCTCTATGCGAGTCTATGGGTCTCTATGCGAGTCTGTGGGTCTTTATGTGAGTCAGTGGGTCTCTATGTGAGTCTGTGGGTCTCGATGCGAGTCTGTGGGTCTCTATGTGAGTCTGTAGGTCTCGATCCGAGTCTGTGTGTCTCGATGCGAGTCTATGGGTCTCTATGCGAGTCTGTGGGTCTCGATGTGAGTCTGTGGGTCTCTATGCGTGTCTGTGGGTCTCTATGCGTGTCTGTGGGTCTCTATGCGAGTCTGTGGGTCTCTATGCGTGTCTGTGGGTCTCTATGCGAGTCTGTGGGTCTCTATGCGAGTCTGTGGGTCTCTATGCATGTCTGTGGGTCTCTATGCGAGTCTGTGGGTCTCTATGCGAGTCTGTGGGTCTCTATGCATGTCTGTGGGTCTCTATGCGAGTCTATGGGTCTCTATGCGTGTCTGTAGGTCTCTATGCGAGTCTGTGGGTCTCTATGCGAGTCTGTGGGTCTCTATGCATGTCTGTGGGTCTCTATGCGAGTCTGTGAGTCTCTATGCGAGCCTGTGGGTCTCTATGTGAGTCTGTGGGTCTCCCGGCGACTCTATGGGTCTCTATGCGAGTCTGTAAGTCTCTATGCGAGTCTGTGGGTCTCTATGCGAGTCTGTGGGTCTCTATGCATGTCTGTGGGTCTCTATGCGAGTCTGTGGGTCTCTATGCGAGTCTGTGGGTCTCTATGCATGTCTGTGGGTCTTTATGCGAGTCTATGGGTCTCTATGCGTGTCTGTAGGTCTCTATGCGAGTCTGTGGGTCTCTATGCGAGTCTGTGGGTCTCTATGCATGTCTGTGGGTCTCTATGCGAGTCTGTGGGTCTCTATGCGATTCTGTGGGTCTCTATGCATGTCTGTGGGTCTCTATGCGAGTCTGTGGGTCTCTATGCGAGTCTGCGGGTCTCTATGCATGTCTGTGGGTCTCTATGCGAGTCTGTCCGTCTCTATGCGAGTCTGTGGGTCTCTATGCGAGTCTGTGGGTCTCTATGCGAGTCTGTGGGTCTCTATGCGAGTCTGTGGGTCTCTATGCGAGTCTGTGGGTCTCTATGCGAGTCTGTGGGTCTCTATGCATGTCTGTGGGTCTCTATGCGAGTCTGTGGGTCTCTATGCGAGTCTGTGGGTCTCTATGCATGTCTGTGGGTCTTTATGCGAGTCTATGGGTCTCTATGCGTGTCTGTGGGTCTCTATGCGAGTCTGTGGGTCTCTATGCGAGTCTGTGGGTCTCTATGCGAGTCTGTGGGTCTCTATGCATGTCTGTGGGTCTCTATGCGAGTCTGTGGGTCTCTATGCGATTCTGTGGGTCTCTATGCATGTCTGTGGGTCTCTATGCGAGTCTGTGGGTCTCTATGCGAGTCTGCGGGTCTCTATGCATGTCTGTGGGTCTCTATGCGAGTCTGTCGGTCTCTATGCGAGTCTGTGGGTCTCTATGCGAGTCTGTGGGTCTCTATGCGAGTCTGTGGGTCTCTATGCGAGTCTGTGGGTCTCTATGCGAGTCTGTGGGTCTCTATGCGAGTCTGTGGGTCTCTATGCGTGTCTGTGGGTCTCTATGCGTGTCTGTGGGTCTCTATGCGAGTCTGTGGGTCTCTATGCGAGTCTGTGGGTCTCTATGCGTGTCTGTGGGTCTCTATGCGTGTCTGTGGGTCTCTATGCGAGTCTGTGGGTCTCTATGCGAGTCGTAACTGCTCACCCACTGTGATGTCGAGGCTGCGTCTCTCCCCCAGAGCTCGCAGGCGGTAGAGGCATCCACTCTGGTAGTAGTACTGCAAGAACTGCACCACACCTGCAGGCCGCCGCATCGCACACAAGCGGCCACACCACACACACAGGTACCACAGCAAATTCGCACTCAGTCACACCACACAGAGCCGGCCACATCACACACACACGTCCCTCAAGGTTGGGAGGTCGATCATCTCCCCTGCTGCACCGGTGTCCGAGGTCTCTCTAGACCCATATAGACCCCCTCTAGACCCCTCTTGTCCCCCTCTAGACCCATATATACACCCTCTAGACCCATATATACACCCTCTAGACCCATATATACACCCTCTAGACCCATATATACACCCTCTAGACCCATATATACACCCTCTAGACCCGTATAGACCCCATCTAGACCCCTCTTGTCCCCTTCTAGACCCCCTCTAGACCCCTCTTGTCCCCCTCTAGACCCATATAGACCCCCTCTAGACCCCTCTTGTCCCCCTCTAGACCCATATGGACCCATATAGACCACTCTAGACCCCCTCTAGACCCCCTCTAGACCCCTCTTGTCCCCCTCTAGACCCATATGGACCCATATAGATCCCCTCTAGATCCCCTCTAGATCCCCTCTAGATCCCCTCTAGATCCCCTCTAGATCCCCTCTAGATCCCCTCTAGATCCCCTCTAGATCCCCTCTAGATCCCCTCTAGATCCCCTCTAGATCCCCTCTAGATCCCCTCTAGATCCCCTCTAGATCCCCTCTAGATCCCCTCTAGATCCCCTCTAGATCCCCTCTAGATCCCCTCTAGATCCCCTCTAGATCCCCTCTAGATCCCCTCTAGATCCCCTCTAGATCCCCTCCAGATCCCCTCTAGACCCCCTCTAGATCCCCTCTAGATCCCCTCTAGATCCCCTCTAGATCCCCTCTAGATCCCCTCTAGATCCCTCTAGACCCCCTCTAGACCCCCTCTAGACCCCCTCTAGATCCCCTCTAGATCCCCTCTAGACCCCCTCTAGATCCCCTCTAGACCCCCTCTAGATCCCCTCTAGATCCCCTCTAGATCCCCTCTAGACCCCCTCTAGATCCCCTCTAGACCCATATGGACCCATATGGACCCATATGGACCCATATAGATCCCCTCTAGATCCCCTCTAGACCCCCTCTAGACCCCCTCTAGACCCCCTCTAGACCCCCTCTAGATCCCCTCTAGATCCCCTCTAGACCCACTCTAGACCCCCTCTAGACCCACTCTAGATCCCCTCTAGATCCCCTCTAGACCCCCTCTAGACCCCCTCTAGACCCCCTCTAGATCCCCTCTAGACCCCCTCTAGATCCCCTCTAGATCCCCTCTAGACCCCCTCTAGACCCACTCTAGACCCCCTCTAGATCCCCTCTAGATCCCCTCTAGATCCCCTCTAGATCCCCTCTAGATCCCCTCTAGACCCCCTCTAGACCCCCTCTAGACCCCCTCTAGATCCCCTCTAGATCCCCTCTAGACCCCCTCTAGACCCATATGGACCCCCTCTAGATCCCCTCTAGACCCCCTCTAGATCCCCTCTATATCCCCTCTAGACTCCCTCTAGATCCCCTCTAGATCCCCTCTAGACCCCCTCTAGACCCATATAGACCCCCTCTAGACCCATATAGACCCCCTCTAGACCCATATAGACCCCCTCTAGACCCATATAGACCCCCTCTAGACCCATATAGACCCCCTCTAGACCCCCTCTAGACCCATATAGACCCCCTCTAGACCCCCTCTAGACCCCCTCTAGACCCCCTCTAGACCCCCTCTAGACCCCCTCTAGACCCCCTCTAGACCCCCTCTAGACCCCCTCTAGATCCCCTCTAGATCCCCTCTAGATCCCCTCTAGACCCCCTCTAGATCCCCTCTAGACCCCCTCTAGACCCCCTCTAGACCCCCTCTAGATCCCCTCTAGACCCCCTCTAGACCCCCTCTAGACCCCCTCTAGATCCCCTCTAGATCCCCTCTAGATCCCCTCTAGACCCCCTCTAGACCCATATAGACCCCCTCTAGACCCATATAGACCCCCTCTAGACCCATATAGACCCATATAGACCCCCTCTAGACCCCCTCTAGACCCCCTCTAGACCCCCTCTAAATCGCCTCTAAATCGCCTCTAAATCGCCTCTAAATCGCCTCTAAATCGCCTCTAAATCGCCTCTAAATCGCCTCTAGACCCCCTCTAGACCCCCTCTAGACCCCCTCTAGATCCCCTCTAGATCCCCTCTAGATCCCTTCTAGACCCCCTCTAGACCCCCTCTAGATCCCCTCTAGACCCCCTCTAGACCCCCTCTAGACCCCCTCTAGACCCCCTCTAGATCCCCTCTAGACCTCCTCTAGATCCCCTCTAGATCCCCCTGAACCCCCATGAACCCCACCAAACCCCTCTGGAACCCCTTGTATCCCCGTGTGGTGGTTGTTGAGTGTGCCAGTTGAGTGCTGTTTGGGTTTCTGTCTCCCAGCTCGCACTCACTCTGGTACACGGAGAAGCCCAGGAATTGCGTCCTGAAGCTCTGGTACATCTCCCCATCCGGCCTGGGGGGGGGGGCGGTTTTGAGAGCAGAGAAGAGGAAAGTTGAAAACAGCGAGGAAGGGGAGGAGAAGAGATGAGAGGGGAGAGAGAAAGGAGGAGGGATGAGACGGGGTTGAAGAGAGGAGTATAGAAGGGAGTGGTACTTTAGGGGAGAGGAGAGGGGACCGGCTGTGCCTGGTGTCACGCATGTGTAGTGACATAGCGCTGGCTGCAGGCGTAAAAGGGTAACTGCGGTATACAGCAGTACTGACGTCAACAGGCCACGATATACACTAGAGGGGGACATCTAGGGGGGAAAGGTCACAGAAGGTGCCCACCGGGAAGCCCCGGGAGCTCGCTAGTAGGTTCCAGAAAGGGGGCGTGGCCGGGGCGGAGCAAGGCCACGCTGGGAGTATGAGAAAGGTCCCTGTGCAGGACCTCGGGGCTGTTGCTGGAAGTGGGATCCCCGTCGTGCTGCTCAAGTTCATCGTCGTCATCATCTCCTCGTCGTCGTCTCCGTCTTCACCATCCCGGGGCGCTGCTGGTCAGACAGCCTACCAACTGTTCTAACCAAGTAGTGCCGCCGACAATAGACGGTCTTAATGATAGTGTGCACCCACGTAGGGTGGTGTTATCCCGATGGTGCTTGTTAAATAAAATAAGCGCCTCCAAGTCTTACTGCCTCCGAGTTGAGTCCCTGCGCATGGAATGGTGCCTCCGTGTTGTGGCTATGCGTCGTCGTTACGCGCACCTGCGATTCTGGGACTTTTTAAGGTAAGGGGTTTGGTGGATCGCCCAGAGATCTGCGAATCTCCCGAACTCCGCTGGGCCACACGGTGACCAGGGGACGTCGCTATACCAGCAAAGTTCACGGACCCATCCGCGTGGATCGCGATCTTCGAGCGCTTTCGGGAGAGTCCGCCCCGCGCTGCAATCGGCGACTTTCAGCCCCCGAGGGCGCCCCCCCCGCCCCCCGCTCCTAACGCGTCGGGGGGAGCATCTCCTCACCTCCGCCAGGCGCTTACCAGGTGAGCATGACTCCGGAGAGGAAGGTGGACACATAGTGGTGGATCACCCACCAGCCCTTGATGCTGTGAGAGAGAGAAAGATGTGGGGGGGGGGGGGGGGGGGAGGGGGTTAGTCGCGAGCCGTGGCAGTCTGGAACCTCGGCGAGAGGACGCGCGGACTGCGAGTGGAGGTCAACCGGCTTGGGGACGCGGGGCGGCCTCCCTGAGAAGCGTCCTTGTCCACGGCCCGGGGGCGGCCTCCCCGAGAAGCGTCGTTGCACAACCAGGGCTCGCAAACGCACCGTGTGCGATGACGAGACGCGTCGCCGTGAACTGCCGGGAGTGGCGCGGCGTGGTGCATAGCGGTGTTGAGTGGCAGAGGGAGGCGTGGCGTGGTGTGGAGTGGCAAGGTGTGGCGCGGTGTAGAGTGGTGTGGCGCGGTGTGGTGTGGTGTGGTGTGGCGTGGGGCTATCTCACCGGGAGCCGTTGTTGATGAGGATGCTCTCCCTGAGCGTGAGCGTGCAGTAGTACCACACGAGCACGAAGTTAAGGATGGCGTCTGTCACCCTGTGGGGGGGAGGGGGACGGTAGAGGGGTGTGGGCAGGGGGGTCCGAGTGTCTCCGTCAGTAAAACCAATGAGCCTGACCAGGCGAAGGTAAAGGCGACGAGCTCACAATTATCTCCTGTGCCTCGACGGCGTGAGCACGCTGGAGCAGGCAGAAGCCAGCAAGAGCAGGTAGGAGCACGCAGGAGCACGCAGGCGCAACTAGGAGCAACCAGAACCAATCAGGAGCACGCAGGAGCAACCAGGACCAATCAGGACCAATCAGGAGCACGCAGAAGCACACAGGAGCAACCAGGACCAATCAGAAGCACGCAGGAGCAACCAGAACCAATCAGGCGCAAGCAGGAGCACGCAGGAGCACGCAGGAGCACGCAGGAGCAACCAGGACCAATCAGGACCAATCAGGACCAATCAGGAGCAAGCAGGAGCAACAAGGAGCAACCAGGACCAATCAGGCGCAAGCAGGAGCAACCAGGACCAATCAGGCGCAAGCAGGAGCACGCAGGAGCACACAGGAGCAACCAGGACCAATCAGGCGCAAGCAGGAGCAACCAGGAGCAACCAGGACCAATCAGGAGCACGCAGGAGCAACCAGGACCAATCAGGCGCAAGCTGGAGCACGCAGGAGCACGTGCGCCATCCCCTTGTCCGGGCAGCTCCAGCGAGTGTCAAGACTCTTTGTCAGGAGGGCCCGGCCAAGAAGGTGGGGGGGAGGGGGGGTGGTGGGTCGGAGGTGTGGGGGGTGTGGGGGGGTGTGGGGGGGGGTGCACCTGGTGTTGACGCCCAGCAGTAGGGTGAGCGACATGAGGAAGCAGACGATGGTGAGGCGCAGCTTGAAGGTCTCGTACTCGTCCTTGTAGGCGTACCTGGCGTGGCACAGCGTGGACACGGAGGGGTGGGGAGGGGGGCACGTGGGGGGGGGGGGCGACTCTCGCAATAAAGCGACACCAAGGCCCAGTCCCAACCCTAACATCAGCCATCATTAATGAGAATATTGATTTACACTGGAGGAATCCGATGAGCTATAAAGCTCGTTTTCACAGATGTGCAGTAGATGTCCATCGCATATATCTGTTAAACCAGGCCCTCACCTGACCCTAAACCGGACCCTAAACCCAGACTTAGCCCGACCTCTAACCCCACTCCAAGCATGGTTCTAGCAGCGTCCAGACCGCGTGTCGTAGTCGCGTTACCATGGTTACTACACGCGAAAGAGAGGGAGAGAGTAGGGGTCGTACTTGGCCTGCTTGCTCAGCAGAGTGAGGTTCACGTTGCCCAGGACCAAGCGCAGGTAGAGCCTGTGTGTGGGGTACGCGGGAGGGATACACACCACCATCACCATCATCATCACCATCATCATCACCATCATCACCACCATCATCATCACCATCATCATCACCATCATCATCACCATCATCATCACCATCATCATCACCACCATCATCATCACCACCATCATCATCATCACCATCATCATCACCATCATCATCGCCATCATCATCATCACCATCATCACCACCATCATCACCACCATCATCACCATCATCATCACCATCATCATCATCACCATCATCACCATCATCATCATCACCATCATCACCATCATCATCATCACCATCATCATCACCATTATCACCATCATCACCATCAATCACCATCAATCACCACCACCATCATCATCACCATCATCATCACCATCATCACCATCATCATCACCATCATCATCACCATTATCACCATCATCACCATCAATCACCATCAATCACCACCACCATCATCATCACCATCATCATCATCACCATCATCATCATCACCACCACCACCACCATTGCCATCATCATCACCAACATCATCATCATCACCACCACCACCATCGCCATCATCATCACCAACATCATCATCATCACCACCACCACTATCGCCACCATCACCACCATCGCCACCGCTACCACCATCATCACCACCGTCGCCATCGACACCATCGCCACCATCATCATCATCACCATCTTCACCATTGCCACCACCATCACCACACGGGAGAGGTCCGGAATCACTACGCGGGAAACGGCGTTGGATTTAAAATTTATTTTAAGGACTCACAAATTCCAGTGTCTCAGTCCTCGGTACGGTCACGCCGGTAACACGCCGGTAAAACGCCGGTAACACGCCATTTGGCACGTAATCCGGTGGGACTGAGATCTGTGGCGAGGTGAAAATGGCTTTCCAATAAAAAGATAATAATTTATTGACTTAAAGCTTTCGTGACTGCAGGAATTAATATTGTTGGCTCTTTCGGCAAAGTCACGGAGATAGGTTCAAAAAGAATAACAAAAAAGAACCAAAAAACTACGACGTTTCGATCGCAACACAAGCAATCGTCATCAGGAGAAAAAAATTGCGGGAAAGCTGCTGATGCAGGATGTTTTAAAGGTTTGAAATGGGTGTAGCCCAAGGGTCATAAGCGAAGTGGGTGGGGCTAGTGATGTTCAAGTGAGAGATGAGCATGTCAATGTAAGATCGCAGAGCCACCGCCACATCGATCAAAACGAGCAATGGTGGCTGTGTTAGTGAGACATTTAACCTGTTAATGTGAAGACATTTAACCTGTTAATGTGAAGACATTTAACCTGTTCATGTAAAACCAGAGAGTCGGAAATAACTACTAACATCGGAAGGAAGGATGGAAACATCACAGCCAGTTAGGACTTAAACTGGTTGATAACGTCCTTCCAACGATTGCTCAGTTTGTACCCATCTTCTCAGTTGAAATTGTGTCTGTGTCTATATAAATATGGATGGCTTCATGAACGAATCTTTGTTGATAGCCAGTGGGCTTGCAAAGTACCTTCGTCTTAGAGAAATCAATTTCGTGTGAGCCCACCGCATTAAAACAATAAACAGCCACGGTCGAAGTATTGGTCCTACCGTGTTTCAGATCCGCCTTATGTTCACGAACACGGTCCGAGACGTCACTTAGTTTCCCCAATGTAACTACTGCCGCAGACACAGCTTAGTTTGTGGACGCCGGGGTATTGCATCTCAGGGATCACATCCTTCACAGATGGGATCAAATAACGAATTTTATGTACTGTTTAAATCGAACCTGGATTTTGTGTTTGCTCATGATTTTGGAAATCTTTTCAGTGACCCCTGCTATGTATGGCAAGGTGATGGTTTTGATTGGGTCCTCAGGATGGTTCTTTCCCAACGGTTGGGGTGATAGCTTTATGGATTGTGTAGTCTGAATATCCATTCATCTTGAGAGCTTGGTGTACGTGTTCCAGTTCACTGGCTAGGTGATGACGGTCGGAAATACATCGAGCTCTATGGTGTAGAGTTTTGATGAGGGAATTATTCTGGGATGGATGGTGGTGGGAGTCAGGTTTTAGGTAGGCATCCGTACGGGTGGCTTTCCTGTAGACAGTGTCCCATTGAGCCATCTGGTCTCTTTTCAATTAAAACATCCAAGCATGGTAACTTGCCATCCTTTTCCACCTCCATGGTGGCAGAGTGGCGGTGGTTGCGGTGTGGTTGTGGTGGTTGCAGTGTGGTGGTGGCGGTGTGGGTGGTACTGCAGCACTCACCCATTCTTCTTGGGGAGGAACGCCTCCATTTCCTCGAAGGTGACCTCCTGCTCCTTCACACCGACACCAATCCTCTCCAGCTTCTCCATCTCCTCTCCGCTCGCGCCTCCACCACGGCCGCACCTGGGCACAGGTGAGCAGTGATGCAGAGCGGCCCACTGCAACACACTCGAGAAACATCGCGTCCGTCCGTCTGTCCGTGTGTCCCTCCGTCCGCATGTCCACGTGTGCATCCATCCGTGTGTTCATCCATCTGTGTGTCCCTGTGTCCGTCCAATCGTCTGCCCATGTACCTGTGTGTCCACGTGTCTGTGTGTCCACGTGTCTGTGTGTCTGTATGTCCACGTGTCTGTGTGTCCACGTGTCTGTGTGTCAACGTGTCTGTGTATCCACGTGTCTGTGTGTCCACGTGTCTGTGTGTCAACGTGTCTGTGTGTCCACGTGTCTGTGTGTCCACGTGTCCATATACCTGTTTGTCCATGTTTCTATGTGTTCATGTGTCCACGTGTCTGTTCATGTGCCCATATGTCCATGTGCCCGTGTGTCCACGTGTCTGTGTCTATGTGTCCACGTGTCTGTGTGTCTATGTGTCCACGTGTCCACGTGCCCGTGTGTCCGCGTGCCCACGTGTCCGCGTGTCCGCGTGCCCACGTGTCCGCGTGCCCACGTGTCCGCGTGTCTGTGTGTCCATGTCACCCCGTGCGTTCCGCTCTCCGTGCCAACCGTGGTGGGGAGGGAGTGATCAACGGGCCTGTTATTTTGGCAGCGGCGTCGCCACCGCCCGTTAACCATGCGGTCAATTTAAGGGGTTCATTTGTGCCGGTGGACAATCACGCGAGTGTGAAACAGTACTAAACGCGGGCGACGTTGATTAAAGTTGCCAGCGCTTTGCTTTTTCTTTTCGCATCATCGCCGCCATCGTCCACGAATCAGCGATCAACTTGAGACGCAATCATCATCAACCACCATCGCCGTCATTTGAAATCCACCATCACTGTCAAAATCTCAGATCCATAATTTATCGTCATCTCTTTTTCATCGTCGTTATCACCATTGACCAATCATCATCATCATCATCATCATCCATTACACCTGTGATCGTCATCATCATACAATCATAATTCGCCAATTAGCGACATCACCATTATTCATAAATCAGTCAATCATTATCATAAATCAATCATCGTCGACCTGAGACACAAACACCATCATCACCATGATCATCACCGCACCTCAGAAATTACCACCACCACCACGATCATCACCACACAACATAAATTACCACCACCACGATCATCACCACAACAGAAATTACTGCAACTACCATGACACTCACCATCAGTATCACCAGCAGCACCACCACCACCACCAATAACTTCACCACCACTACCCTCACCATCACCATTACCTTTACAACGAACACAATCGCCACCACCGCTACACCCTCAACCTCCACCAACCACCACTTCCTTCGCAACACATGCCACCACAATCGCCACCATGTGCATCATGAAGTGCATGATCGTTGCCCGTGCATCAATCATCACAATCTTTGTCGTCAACACCACCACCACCACCATCAGGGTGCTGCTCACGTGCCCGGCCCGGCGCCACGTCCAACGTTTCGCTCCACGTGGCGGGAGCTTCCACTCCAGCCCCGGGCAGAGCGGAAGCTCCCGGCGTGTGGGAACGAAACGTCGGACGTCACGCCAAATAACGCGCGGCACGGCACGAAAACGCGGCATTCGGAGAAAGACGCAGCGCAACCACGAACACCGATAGGGTGAGGAGCGATGAGGAGTCGCGTGCTGTGTGTGTGGAGAAACAAGAGTATCCATCGTGAGAGCCGGTCATCACCATCATCATCATCATCGTCATTATCGTTGTCATCACCATCATCACCATCATCGTCGCCATTATCATTATCGCCATCATCACCATCATCATCGTCGTCATCACCATCATCATCGCCATCATCACCATAATCATCGTCGTCATTATCGTCGTCGTCATCATCATCGTCGTCATTATCGTCGTCGTCGTCATCATCATCGTCGTCGTCATTATCATAATCATCATTATCATAATCATCATTATCATAATCATCATTATCATAATCATCGCCATCATCGTCGACTCTTAACGAGGCCGACAGAGTGGCAGCGTAGGGGACAACACTGGCGCCTCGCAGCCACAAGCCCACGGGTTCGATTCTCAACTCGGGGCGCTTTTCTGCGTGGAGTTCGTACGTTCTCCCACCTGTTCCGCACTTTCCTCCAACATCTAAGAATAAGTTTTAACACGTAGACTTTCGCGACCAATATCATTAATAAAAGGCTCTTGGGTTGGATCGCGTGAAGCATAAACGTGGCGTAACCCTCCACCACCCGGCACAGCCGGCACGGTTTGTCACAGTAAACAACGCGCGCCAATTAGTTTACTACTTCAGCCCACCGGTGTGTTGGAGAGTAAATCCACAACATTTACCGTTTGAGTACGACGTTTCGCTGGTAATTACATCCAGCATCATCGGGCGATTTGCCCACTCACAGGGCGACTGGCGTGGGGGAGGCAGGGGCCTAACGTGCCAATGCGAGACCGAGTGAACAAAGAAAAAAAGAGCCCTCGGCCTCGGCGTGCGTCCGAGTTGGTGGGTGGGTAAAGATCAACGGAAGGAAAACTCTCCACACACACACGCGCAGAGGGCGGTCCTCGTTCTAGCCACCTCTTGAGCTTGCTGTTGAGGTCCTTGAGTAGCCTCTTCTGGCGGGAGATGGAGGAGGAGCACGCGGACTGCATGGAGGTCAACTCGGCCAGCCGCTCCATGTACACCCGGTGGCGCTCCTGGAGGTACCACGTGGTGGTGGTGAGGGGTGGGGGGGGGGGGCATTAGTGTTGCCGTTATAGTGTTGGGTGGCAGCACGGTGATGACAATCGCGCCTCTGCACGGGTTCTGCAGTAAAACCTTGGATTGCGAGTAACTTGGTCTGCGAGTGTTTTGCAAGACGAGCAATTTTTGTTTAGTAAATATTAATTTGATAAACGAGCGAGGGTCTTAGCAATACGAGTGGTGCACGTACATGCTTTGTCTGCCGAGCGTCACGTGATCACAACTGATACACGAGTGCTTTGACATACGAGTGCTTTGGATTACAAACACGTTTGCGGAACGAATTATGCTCGCAATCCAAGGTTTTACTGTACTCCCGTCTCTCCGGCGTCATCCTGCCATAGCTAGAAGAAACACCGGCGCAATGTGACCGCTGTCGAACCAAACGTCCCCAATGACGAATCATTACCTGCAAGTTGGGATCACACCAATACCAATGCCACGCCATTCGCCGCCAAGTGACGGTGACGTCACCGCGGCCCTTGTGCCAGGCCAGGTGCACTTCGAGGCCACGTGGGAGTGCCGAAGGCTCGCTGACAGAAGGTCACGGGGCAGACCCGGCAGGTGCCATGGGTTGGCAGACTGAGATGACTGGCAGATGCCGCCGGCTGTACCCCCCACCATGCCGACTCGCTGCATTCTACCCGCCCGCCGCTCCGCTCGTTGCTGCGAGCGTCGCTCCTCTGCCCTCCGTTGTTGTTGGAGGGTGACTGCCTCCAACTTCCCAAGGATCATCAACACACACACACACACGCGCAGATAGCAGCAGCGGTGGCAGCAACATCGCCCCCCTCTACTACCTCGAAATCCGAACCAAACAAAGACAGACTTTGCGGGAACCTCCTGAAAAAAGGAAAGCGTGCAGAGACTCTTTCCTGCATCCCTGCCTGAACAAGCGGAATGGTAATAAAATAAATACAAAAGTAATTGAGAGAGTCGCGGTCACAGTTTGCTGTTTGCGTTGTTGGGTCAGGGTCAGAGTTCCGAGTTACGTCATCGACCCCAAGCAAGGCAGCGTTCACAGCCCCCCCCCCCACACACACACCCCCCACGACCCCCGTGATTGCGCAACAAACTGAAGGGAACACAATTGAAAGCACACGCTCTTAGGACTCGAGTTCATAGGTGTGTGTGCGTGTGTGCGTGCGTGTGTGTGCGTGTGTTGTGGGGAGCGGTAGTGTAGCGGTTAGCGCTACGCTGCGCTATGAACCTGGCGGTTCGATTCCCGCTCACGGCCAACACCCAGTGACTATTATCTGAACCGGTCCCGGGCCTCCCCTAGGTCGACTCAGCCTCAAATGAGTACCTGGTGCAATGTGTAAACATTGCCACTAGGGAGACAAAGGCGGTCGGGCGTGGTGCTGGCCACCCACCCCCTCGTGTATCGTTCCGGCCTTCATAGGTGCTGGCTAACAGCACTTGTCCCTACAGGGATCTTTTGTGTGTGTGCGTGTGTGCGTGTGTGAGTGTGTGTGTGAAAGCGAGAATTTCATCATCGCTTGCGGCTGGGATTGGCATCTTCCCCCACTCTTGATGTCGCGGGTAAATGGGCGAGGTTTAGGACTGTGACTCATGCAGCTGCAATGGCTGACAGAGGAGATGTTCAGGATGGTTGAGAAAAAGCGACAGGCCCACTGTCATCGGCTACAGAATCCCACGTCAGAGAATGAGGAGGCTTACCGCAGCCTTCGCTCGGAGGTTCGGAGAGCCATGAGGCGCTGCAAGGATGGGTGGTGGTCGCGGGTTGCTGAGGAGATGGAGTCTGCCTCAGTGGCCCGCGATCACAAATCTCTATTTAACTTCATCAAAAAAGTAACCTGCAGCGCCACACCTATTATCATCATGAGGGGAAAAAAACGGTGATCCAATCTCCGACCCCCAGGAACAGGTTTGCACATTTGCTGAGCATTTCTGTGAGGTCCTGGGGGAGGGAAAATCCCTCAGCCAGGAAAACATCGTGGCACAAAGTGAGGATGACCCTGCTGAGGCTGCGGTGCCTCAAATATTGGAAGAAGTCACCCCCTGTGAGTGGCTAGCTGAAGTACCATCTGTTGAGGAAGTACTGAAGGCGATCCGGAGTCTGAGACCAGGAAAGGCAGCGGGCAGAGATGATCTCCCAAGCGAAATGCTGAGGGAGGGTGGCGTTTGTGCACAGACTGCCCTATATGACATAACAACAGTCTGGACCACTGGACGAGTTCCGCAGGATTGGAAGGATGCCCTGGTTGTTCCCCTCTTTAAGAAGGGGGACCGCACAGAATGTAACAACTACAGGGGCATCTCACTCCTCAGTGTGCCGGGAAAGGTCCTGGCAAGGATTATTCAACATCGCCTCACCAGGCACGCTGAGGAGAGGCTTGCGGAGCCCCAATGCGGTTTCAGGAAAGGGCGGTCCTGCACATATGCCATATTTTCTGTCCGTCTGCTACAGCAGAGGTGTAGGGAATTCCAACAAGACCTACATCTCTGCTTTATTGACCTGGTCAAGGCCTATGATACCATCAGTAGGCCTGGGCTCTGGGTTGTTCTTCGTGCTTTTGGAGTCCCTGACCCTCTGCTCACGATCATTAAGACCTTCATGATGGTGAGCGGGCACGGGTAAAACTACGTGGCTGGGAGTCAGAGCCATTCCCTGTAAACCTTGGGGTGCGACAGGGATGTCCTCTGGCTCCCACATCATTTAACATCTATTTTGACCACGTAGTTCGTGAAGCCTTCAATAGCTGTACCGGGGGAATCAAGATTTGGTAAAGATATAATGGGAGGCTGATCGATGCCTGGGTGCGGTCAAGGGATGGCTCCTTATTGCTCAACCACGTTATGTATGCCGATGATTTGGTAATAGCTGCTCATTCAGAGGAGGAGTTGGAGATGCTGCTGCTGAGACTGGAGCGTGCCACTAAGAGATGGGGCCTTACCATTAGCCCCACCAAAACTAAGCACCTGCCTGGGTATTTTGTACCATCGGACACTCCACCCCCACAACTCCCAATCGGTGATGGGGCAGTTGTGGAGAGAGTGGAGAGTTTCCCATACCTGGGCAGTGTGCTTATGACCAGCTCCAGTTTAACAGCAGAGGTCTCACTCCGAATCAGTCGAGCGGCAATATCTTTTCATCGGTTGCATAACGCTGTGTGGAAGCTACCTGGTCTGTCGCTCCGCACTAAGCTTCAGGTCTTCTCGGCCACGGTCATTCCCTCCCTTCTCGAAACGTGGACCCCCTTAATGGAGCATCTTCGCCGGTTGGAAACATTTAGGCTGGCCTGCCTACGATCCATCCTGGGTTTAACCAGGCTGGATTTTGTGAGGAGCTCACAAATCCTTGAAAGATCTGGGCAAGGTCCCATCGGTGAGCTCCTCCGGCAGGCAAGGCTGCGTTGGCTGGGTCATGTAGCCCGCATGCCCAGCCACCGCATGCCGAAACAGCTTTTGTTCGGCCGGATCGAGGGGGCTAAACGGGCACGGCATGGGCTAGAGAAGAGATGGAGTGATGTGGTACAGGAGGACGTGGAGCTGAGTGGACTTGCCGATGACTGGTACCAGCGGTGTCAAGATCGGCCTCTGTGGAGGAGGCTCGTGAAGGACGCTACTGGGCAGTTGGAGGCAGTTGCCCTCCAACAACAACGGAGGGCGGAGGAGCGACGCTCACAACAACGAGCGGAGCGCCGGGTGGCTAAAGCACAGCAGGTTGGCACAGTAGGGGGCACAGGGGGTGCATCAGCCAGTCATCTCAGTTAGTCGACCCGTGGCACCTGGGTCTGCCCCGTGACCTCCTGCCCGCGGGCGTTCGACACTTCACGTGGCCTCAAGGTGCACATGGCCTGGCACAAGCGTCGTGGTGACGTCACCGCAACTTAGTGGCGAATGGCGGTTGTTGTTGTGTGTGTGCGTGCATGCGTGCATGCTATCAGCCCACACAATTGGCTGTGTGCGTGTGTGTGCGCAAAAATAATTGACAAAGATCCCCCGTGTAGCCTAAACACACCGTTGGGGCAAGTGCTGTAAGCGAGCACCTGAATGAATGCCGGCACGGCACAACGGCGGGGTGTGGGGTGGGTGGCCAGCACCACGCACAGCCGCCTTTGTCTCCCCGGTGCTGATGCTTACACACCGCACCATGTACTCATTGAAGACCTAGGGGAGAGTCCAAGGGCCAGGTTTGCGAGCGGGAATTTAAATAGCCCGTCAATCGTGACCACTCGGCCCGCCAGTGGACTTAGTAACACGAGTACGTGTCCTTTCCTCTAGCCAATGCGTTGTTAGTAAGGAATGTGTTTCACGCTGTGTATCAGTGTGCTGTGTGTTAGTAAGGAATGTGTTTCACGCTGTGTATCGGTGTGTTAGTAAGGCCTGTGTTACACGTTGTGTATCGGTGTGCTGTGTGTTAGTAAGGAATGTGTTTCACGTTGTGTATCAGTGTGTTAGTAAGGCCTGTGTTTCACGCTGTGTATCGGTGTGTTGTGTGTTAGTAAGGAATGTGTTACACGTTGTGTATCAGTGTGTTAGTAAGGCCTGTGTTACACGTTGTGTATCGGTGTGTTGTGTGTTAGTAAGGAATGTGTCACACGTTGTGTATCGGTGTGTTAGTAAGGAATGTGTTTCACGCTGTGTATCGGTGTGCTGTGTGTTAGTAAGGAATGTGTTACACGTTGTGTATCAGTGTGTTAGTAAGGAATGTGTTACACGTTGTGTATCAGTGTGTTAGTAAGGAATGTGTTTCACGCTGTGTATCGGTGTGCTGTGTGTTAGTAAGGAATGTGTTACACGTTGTGTATCAGTGTGTTAGTAAGGAATGTGTTACACGTTGTGTATCAGTGTGTTAGAAGGAATGTGTTTCACGCTGTGTATCGGTGTGCTGTGTGTTAGTAAGAAATGTGTTTCACGCTATGTATCGGTGTGTTAGTAAGGAATGTGTTACACGTTCTGTATCGGTGTGTTAGTAAGGTCTGTGTTTCACGCTGTGTATCGGTGTGTTAGTAAGGAATGTGTTTCACGCTGTGTATTGGTGTGCTGTGTGTTAGTAAGGAATGTGTTTCACGCTGTGTATCGGTGTGCTGTGTATTAGTAAGGAATGTGTTTCACGTTGTGTATCAGTGTGTTAGTAAGGTCTGTGTTCCACGTTGTGTATCAGTGTGTTAGTAAGGAATGTGTTTCACGCTGTGTATCGGTGTGCTGTGTGTTAGTAAGGAATGTGTGTTCACGTTGTGTATCGGTGTGTTGTGTTAGTAAGGAATGTGTTACACGTTGTGTATCGGTGTGCTGTGTGTTAGTAAGGAATGTGTTACACGCTGTGTATCGGTGTGTTAGTAAGGAATGTGTTTCACGTTGTGTATCGGTGTGTTGTGTTAGTAAGGAATGTGTTTCACGCTGTGTATCGGTGTGCTGTATGTTAGTAAGGAATGTGTTACACGTTGTGTATCAGTGTGTTAGTAAGGAATGTGTTTCACGTTGTGTATCGGTGTGCTGTGTGTTAGTAAGGTCTTTGTTACACGTTGTGTATCGGTGTGTTAGTAAGGAATGTGTTTCACGTTGTGTATCAGTGTGCTGTGTGTTAGTAAGGAATGTGTTTCACGCTGTGTATCAGTGTGCTGTGTGTTAGTAAGGAATGTGTTTCACGTTGTGTATCAGTGTGTTAGTAAGGCCTGTGTTACACGTTGTGTATCAGTGTGCTGTGTGTTAGTAAGGAATGTGTTTCACGCAGTGTATTGGTGTGTTGTGTTAGTAAGGTCTTTGTTACACGTTGTGCATCGGTGTGTTAGTAAGGCCTGTGTTACACGTTGTGTATCAGTGTGTTAGTAAGGAATGTGTTTCACGCTGTGTATCAGTGTGCTGTGTGTTAGTAAGGAATGTGTTTCACGTTGTGTATCAGTGTGTTAGTAAGGCCTGTGTTACACGTTGTGTATCAGTGTGCTGTATGTTAGTAAGGAATGTGTTTCACGCAGTGTATTGGTGTGCTGTGTGTTAGTAAGGAATGTGTTACACGTTGTGTATCAGTGTGTTAGTAAGGCATGTGTTACACACTGTGTATCAGTGTGTTGTGTGTTAGTAAGGCTTGTGTTACACGTTGTGTATCAGTGTGTTAGTAAGGCATGTGTTACACGTTGTGTATTAGTGTGTTGTGTGTTAGTAAGGCTTGTGTTACACGTTATGTATTAGTGTGTTGTGTGTTAGTAAGGTCTGTGTTACACGTTGTGTATCAGTGTGTTGTGTGTTAGTAAGGCTTGTGTTACACGTTGTGTATTGTCCAGCAGTGGAATAACAAAATGCAGTCCGTGCGTGTCCATGGAGGAAGATTTCCACGCAAGCAGCGGGTGGACGCGAGGAGAGATGGACAACAGCGACAACGAGACAGATACACACACAGTCACACAGACACACACACAGTCACACAGTCACACACACAGACACACACACAGTCACACACACACAGACACAAACACAGTCACACACAGTCACACAAAAAAAGATCCCCCATATAGCCTTAACAGACTGTTGGGGCAAGTGCTGTTAGCGAGCACCTATGAAGGCCGGAACGGTACACGAGTGGGTGGGTGGCCAGCACCACGCACGACCGCCGTTGTCTCCCCAGTGGCGATGTTTACACACCGCACCAGGTACTCATTTGAGGCTGAGTCGACCTAGGGGAGGCCAGGGACCGGTTCAGATAATCGTCACTGATGTTGGCCGTGAGCGGGAATCGAACCCGGGTCGCCAGGTTCATAGCGCAGCGCGCTAACCGCTACACTATCGCTCCCCACACACACAGTCACACACACACAGTCACACACACAGTCACACACACACACAGACACACACACACACAGTCACACACAGTCACACACAGTCACACACACAGTCACACAGACACACACACAGAGTCACACACAGTCACACACAGGCACACACACAGACACACACACAGTCACACACAGACACACACACAGTCACACAGTCACACACACACAGTCACACACAGACACACACACAGTCACACAGTCACACACACAGTCACACACAGAGGGACAAGGAGACACACACAAACAGGCACACGATGAACAACAGACAAGATTGACAAAGAGATATCGACGAGAGACACGTGTAGATATCGACAAAGACAAACACGTAGATAGGGGGGGGGACAGATAAAGAAGAGAAACAATGAGATACAATGTGCCAAAGGCAGACATACTCGGGCATACAAGTGGACACAGAGAGGCGCAGACGACAGACACACACACGCGAACGCTCTACCTTCAGCGCCTGGTAATCTTTCTCCAAGTCCGTCCATTCAGATGCGCAGTCTTTGAGAGACATCTTCGATTCCCAGCCGAAGACGAGAGACCCAGGACAGACCTCTCCACGCCGGTGCAAGGGAGTGGAGGGCGAGAGAGAGAAACGGCTCACTGCTGGCTGAACTCTGAACGCGGTGTTTCAAATCTCTCTCTCTCTCCTTTCTATGACGTCTCTCGGTCTCCCACCACCTCCCCCCACTTACGTCTCCCCCCACACACACACCTCCACCCCCGACTTCCCCACCCACACACGCCACCGCCTCCACCTCACCCATCCACCTCCACCCCACCCACTGACGCCTCCCCTCGCTTGTGCCAATCCGGTCGTACAGGGTGGCAGGGTGAGTGGTGAGTGTGGTGAGTGGTGAGTGTGGTGAGTGGGGAGTGTGGTGAGTGTGGTGAGTGGGGAGTGTGGTGAGTGGGGAGTGTGGTGAGTGGGGAGTGTGGGGAGTGTGGGGAGTGTGGTGAGTGGTGAGTGTGGTGAGTGGGGAGTGTGGGGAGTGGGGAGTGTGGTGAGTGGGGAATGTGGTGAGTGGGGAGTGTGGTGAGTGGGGAGTGTGGTGAGTGGGGAGGGTGGGGAGTGTGGTGAGTGGGGAGTGTGGGGAGTGTGGTGAGTGGGGAGTGTGGTGAGTGTGGTGAGTGGGGAGTGTGGTGAGTGGGGAGTGTGGTGAGTGGGGAGTGTGGTGAGTGGTGAGTGGGGAGTGTGGTGAGTGTGGGGAGTGTGGGGAGTGTGGTGAGTGTGGTGAGTGGTGAGTGTGGTGAGTGGGGAGTGTGGTGAGTGGGGAGTGTGGTGAGTGGGGAATGTGGTGAGTGGGGAGTGTGGTGAGTGGGGAGTGTGGTGAGTGGGGAGGGTGGGGAGTGTGGTGAGTGGGGAGTGTGGGGAGTGTGGTGAGTGGGGAGTGTGGTGAGTGTGGGGAGTGGTGAGTGTGGTGAGTGGGGAGTGTGGTGAGTGGGGAGTGTGGTGAGTGGGGAGTGTGGGCAGCGGTGAGTAGGGAGTGTGGTGAGTGTGGGGAGTGGTGAGTGTGGGGAGTAGTGAGTGGGGAGTGTGGTGAGTGTGGGGAGTGTGGGGAGTGTGGTGAGTGGGGAGTGTGGTGAGTGTGGTGAGTGGTGAGTGGTGAGTGTGGTGAGTGTGGTGAGTGGGGAGTGTGGTGAGTGGTGAGTGGTGAGTGGGGAGTGTGGTGAGTGGGGAGTGTGGTGAGTGGGGAGTGTGGTGAGTGGGGAGTGTGGGCAGCGGTGTGAGTGGGGAGTGTGGTGAGTGGGGAGTGTGGTGAGTGGGGAGTGTGGTGAGTGTGGTGAGTGGTGAGTGTGGTGAGTGGGGAGTGTGGTGAGTGTGGTGAGTGGTGAGTGGGGAGTGTGGTGAGTGGGGAGTGTGGTGAGTGGGGAGTGTGGTGAGTGGGGAGTGTGGGGAGTGTGGTGAGTGGGGAGTGTGGGGAGTGTGGTGAGTGGGGAGTGTGGTGAGTGGGGAGTGTGGTGAGTGGGGAGTGTGGTGAGTGGGGAGTGTGGGGAGTGTGGTGAGTGGGGAGTGTGGTGAGTGGGGAGTGTGGTGAGTGGGGAGTTTGGTGAGTGGGCAGCGGTGTGAGTGGGGAGTGTGGTGAGTGTGGAATGTGGTGAGTGGGGAGTGTGGTGAGTGTGGAGTGTGGTGAGTGGGGAGTGTGGTGAGTGGGGAGTGTGGGTAGCGGTGTGAGTGGGGAGTGTGGTGAGTGGTGAGTGTGGTGAGTGTGGTGAGTGGGGAGTGTGGTGAGTGTGGTGAGTGTGGGCAGCGGTGAGTGGGGAGTGTGGGGAGTGTGGTGAGTGGGGTGAGTGGGGAGTGGGGAGTGTGGTGAGTGTGGTGAGTGGTGAGTGGGGAGCTGTTCGTGTCGCGGTAATCCGCGCTACGCTGCGCTACGAACCTGGCGACCCGAGTTCGATTCCCGCCGCTCACGGCCGACACCGCTGACCTGAACCGGTACCTGGGCCTCCTCCCCTAGGTCGACTCAGCCTCAAATGAGTAGCCGGTCTGGTCTGTAAAAACATCGCCCCTCCCCTTCCGTGTGCCGTGCCGGCCTTAATAGGTGCTCGCAAATAGCACTTTGCCCCAACAGTCTGCTAAGGCTATACGGGGAGATCTTTGTCTTTGTAGCAGTGTCTGGCGAGCGGTTAGAGCTCTTTAGCTGCGAACCCGGCTACCCGAGTTCGATTCCCGCTCACGGCCACCAAACACCGAGTGACAATGATCCGTACAGGTCGACTCAGCCTCAAATGAGTCCCTGGTGTCGCGTGTGTAAACATCGCCATTGGGGAGACAAAGGCGGCCGGGAGTGGTTGCTGGCCACCCACCCCCTCAATGTCCCGTGTGGCCTTAATAGGTGCTCGCGAACAGCACTTGCTCCAGGTGACACAATGAGTGTGTGTGTGTGCTGACCACAATGTCACGACCCCTGACACTGCTGGATTATCCTCGCAGCAAAAGTAGCTAAGCAAGTAGAAGCTACGCATGTCGCTGCTAAACAAGTCGCTGCTACACAAGTCGCTGCTACACAGGTAGCTGCTACACAAGTAGCTGCTACACATTTACCGCGACTACATATGTAGTAGCTACGGAAGTAGCTACGGGCCCCGCACTTTCAAGGGCCCCGCGCTAAATGCTTTCAAGCTGTCAATTCCGGTTCAGTGATTCTGCACTTGCTCTATTACTATAGTACTATACCGCCTGCAACTTTTTTTACGAACGACTGGGTGTTTAAGGTTAGCGATTTATCGTATTATCTGGCTGTGTAGCAAATGAAAAAATTCAATTACTTTACTATGCAAGTAAAAAATGTGTGTTTTAATATTAATGTATGTTTTTTTTTAATTTAGGGCCCCTTTATAACATACCATACAGGCTCCACACTCGCTTTATCCGGCACTGACCCGCGGCCACTGGCAGCTGAAATTGGCACGCTCCATATCCTCACATTAATAGACACACTTACACACAGAGATAAAGATCCCCCGTGTAGCCCCTGCAGACTGTTGGGGCAAGCGCTGTTCGCGAGCACCTATGAAGGCCGACACGGCGCACGATGGGGAAGGGTGGCCAACACCACGCCCGGCCGCCTTTGTCTCCCCGAGCGGCGATGTTTACACACTGCACCAGGCGCTCATTTGAGGCTGAGTCGACCTAGGGGAGGCACAAGGTCGCGCAGCGCGCTAACCGCTACCCCCCCCCCACACAAAAAGACAAAGACCCCCGTATAGCCTTAGCAATCTGTAGGAGAAAGTGCTGTTAGCGGGCAGCACCTATGAAGGCCGGTAGGGCACACGAGGGGGTGGGTGACCAGCACCACACCCGGACACACACGCACACAATCACACGAACACAGATTAATGCACACGGTAATACTGATGCACAGTCACACCGCTAACGCTCACACGAACACACAGAGTGACAGACGCAATTACTCTAACCCAGTGATACACAGCCAGCCACCCACTAACACTCACACGAATATCGTGAAACAGTCACACGCTAACACCGACACTATAACACGGTGACACACAGTCACACACTCACCCACTAACACGCAGTGGCACACATGGTCACACACGAACACAGTGACGCACACACACACGGTGTGTGCGTCACGGTGTGTCGCTCACGGTGACATACACACGTGTCCCCGCTTGCTTCTGCTATGCGCCCTATGACACACTTCACAAAGGGCACTCACACACTGCCACACACACACGCGGGCACACACAGAACCACATGTATTCATCACGCTTGTTCTGGGTACAAACCAGCACGGACGAACAAACAGGCAAGATGTATGGACAACAGATAGATAAACAGACGTATATACAGGCAGGATAGACACACGGAGGGACAGACACAAACACATATAGAGCGTATGGGAGGACAGGTATAATGACAGACAAGACGCCTCGAGAGAGAGAGAGATACAGAAATACAGACGGATGGACGGAGAGGAAGACAAACACATGGATGCATCGACAAAGAGAGAGAGACAGATGACTACAAGGATACACAGCCAGATATACGGACAGACAGACGAATGACATAACCACAGATGGATAGGCAGACACGTAGACAGACCAGACTGATGGAGAGACTGGGAGTGTGCTTTACACACTATCAATGCGTCACTGCAGAGGAAGCAGCATTTCACTGAGATGCACGGAGATTCCCAGGTGGATCAGGAATCGTCCACACATCAGGGACGTCATCGCGACCGCGTGCGTGATAGCGGGCTTGCGGCAGAACGCGCCACGGTTGTAAGGGATGATGGGAAAAGAATTGACGCGTGGCGTGGCGGGGTTACATAGCTCACGATGGCTTTTAGCGCTGTTTTATTTGAAATAATTATTTAACTATTTGTAATATCTCCCAAGTGTTGGGCCATCCCTTAAATCAGTGGTTCTTAACCTTTACTGCAGCCTGCAACCCTTTGGTTCTCAATCGTAAATTTTTTAATATATTTTATATATGTATAATGTTAATAAATGCGTAGGTTTGATGGGAAACAAAAGTAGTTGTAATTTACGTGTCCGTGCTTCATTTGCGTTTTCGATGATTTACGTTCTAAAAACAAAAAAATCCGCCCATGTCTCGCAGCCCCGGGCGGTGTGCGCACCCCAGGTAAAGAACCACTGCCTTGGATCGATGTGTCTCGCTCTCCTCTTGGACGAGAGTCGCCATCCGATAACAGCTTCGCTCGCATTGGAAGACCTCGCGCGAGAGTTACGGAATCATGCAGAGGGTGGCCGCAGGCTGGGGCCAGGCTGCCCCTTAACCTCGCGGTGGCAGCCGGCACACTTAGGACTCGTCAGGGAGCGCCGTGATGAGATTCTAGAATCAGATATACCGGTACACGTGCCAACGTTGGGCCAATGTTGACCCAACATTCCAAGTTTACTAAGATGCTACTGCTGTTCAAGTACGGTACTGACAACCGAGGAAGATAGTTGGATGCCCCCTCTCTCGTTTGTAACCCTTCTTATAGTTTTTGTTCAAATATATTTCAACATCGGACGGACAAAGCTAATGCATGAACACGCTTTCAACCTTATTTGGATTTTTTTTTATTGCTACGTGTGAAATAAAAACAGCAGCAGCCACCCTCACTCACACAACCACGCGTCCCACCACGTGGTGGGAGCGCCCGAGTGAGGCCATGGAAAATGAGTGCCAGGTTACAATTCCGTGGCGACCTTCCTCTGTGAGTCGCGTGCGTGGTGCGTTGTGTGGAAATCTCCAAAGTGAAACAGCATGGCATAGGGACGCGTATGGTATTCATAAAGCGATATTTTATTTTTTTCCGCTGGCTTAGCCCCAGGAAAGCATTCACTGTGTCTCACGACTCGTTTTTGGCGCTGTATTGTCCACATCAGGAGGGTCCTGCCAAGTTGCCACGGTAGGGGTGGCGATGATGTTGCTACGCGCTGGTATATTTCAATTGAGTAATTTGCCAGGTACACACCTGTTTAGCATTGGCATTATGTTTGGCCAACAACCCCCTCCTCCTACGTTACATTGTACAGTGGTTGGGGTTTTTTTTATATTCAGCTATGGGAGGAAACCGGAGAATCCGGAAGGAAACCCCATGCAGTACTGGTGGAGAAACATAACACAACTAAGGTGTCAGCAGCTCTCCTGCTGTGCTTGTCTCACCTGATGACGGTTGCTTGCGTTGCGATCGAAACGCCGTGATCTATTAATTTTCTATCGACGTGACTTTACCGAAAGAACCAAAGAGTATGTCAAAACTAAACGCAGAAAGCGGTGCCCCCTGCTCGGGAATGGAACCCAGGCGGTTGTTACCCTGAGGCCCGTCGAGAGATGACACCTTGACCACTGCGCCGTCACCCTCCAGCTGATGTCCACTCGTGTACACAACCCTCGACTCGCGCCGCTCCTGTGCCAGAGTTCAAGGTGCAAGCGGACACCACCACCACCACCACCATCGCTACCACGTGCGTGTGGGAGTGGGATAACATCGGGGACAGTTGTGTGTGTGTGGGCGGGGGGGCGTTGATTAATGCCCTCCCCCCTTCTCTCCCTCGCCCCCCATCACCCCGACCCCTCCGCACCACATCCACACCGCCTCAACGTCGTGCTGCAGTTTAGGAGCTGCGCTATTTACGTCGTGATTTGTCGCGCGTGCGTGCGCCAGCAGACGAGCGAACCCCCGGCTCAGCCCACCGCACGATCTCGCGGGTCCATCGCGCGCGAGCACGTCGTTGCGTGAAAAGTTGCCGATTAACGGGGGGCAGGGGGGCAGGGGGGGGGGATGTCTCCTTGTGAGTGGAATGTTTCGCACTTGCGTCCTTTCGAAACGAACCAAGACAAAATAGCGTAGGAACGCACGCGATGCGATACCAAACCGAGCCTCCGCTTGGCGCGGTTTGGCTACGTACGGTGCAAAAGTTCAAACACGCACACCGCCGTGCACACTGAACACCCCAGCGCCACGTGGGGGAGTGGTGGTGCTGTGGTTAGGGCACTCGACAATTAAACCAGCCCGCCTGAGTTAGATGCTCGGCCACGGCTCGCATCGCGGCGAGAGTTATCTGAACCGTTTCTGGCTCTCCTCGAGATCGATTCAGCCTTAAATGAGGACCCCCCCCCCCCCCCAGCGTAGAACATAAACGTTGGAGAGACAAAGGCGGCCGGGCATGGTGCTGTGTTCACCTTAGTACCGTATGTGTCCATCATAGAGGTTTTTAGGGTTAGATCGCGTAAATATATAAATGTGTCGTTAAAACCCGCCACCACCCGACACAGCCAACTAGTAAGGGTTGTCACGTAAACAGAACGTGGCCAATTCGTCACTAGTACGGCACACCGGCGTGTGTTGGAGAGCCAAGCCACGACATTTACAGAGTACGACGTTTCACCAGTAATTACAACTAGCTTCATCAGGCGACAGCCAGATTTGTGGAGAGAATGGGGAGGGGGGGAGGAGGGGGGAGGGGGGGTGGAGGAGGGATGAATGAGGGGGGGTAGAGAATGGGGAGGGGGGGTGGAGGAGGGGGAGGGGGTGGAGGAGGAGGGGGGTGGAGGAGGGGGGTAGAGAATGGGGAGGGGGTGGAGGAGGGGGATGGGGGTCGAGGAGGGGGTGGAGGAGGAGGGAGGTGGAGGAGGAGGGTGGAGGAGGAGGGGGGTGGAGGCGGGGGGGTGGATGAGGGGCGGTGGTGGAGGCGGGGGGGGGTAGAGAATGGGGAGGGAGGTGGAGGAGGGGGGGTGGTGGAGGCGGGGGGGGGTGGAGGAGGAGGGGGGTAGAGAATGGGGAGGGAGGTGGAGGAGGGGGGTGGAGGAGGAGGGGTGGTGGAGGCGGGGGGGTGGAGGAGGAGGGGGGGGTGGAGGAGGGTGGTAGAGAATGGGGAGGGAGGTGGAGAAGGGGGGTGGAGGAGGAGGGGGGTGGAGGAGGGAGGTGGAGGAGGGGGTGGAGGAGGAGGGAGTGGATGTCGCCGCGAGGGGAAGTTCACCGCCCTGACGCTAGGGGGAGACGGAGTGACGTTGCGCGCGGAGTTGTCAACCCTTCAGAGTCGGACGTCTCTGTCAATTTCACACTTAACTTCTAATTTAGCAATCTTTAGATAACGTAACTCACCCAGGCTATGCGTTAACTGTGTGTTAGCCGACTCTCTGTGTTGCATTGCATTACATCTCCAAAAAATTGCTAAGTTTGTGTTCTCAAACTGCCTATTTCTCTCTCTAAAATTGACCAGTTTCTCATTGGTCCATTCGCTCTTTCTTACCCCCGGCCACCGCGGGGTGGATTTCCCCACAACTCTCTCATTGACATGCTAATTTCTCTGCTCCAGCAGCTGCCCCAGCAGACTCACCTCTCTCTCTGCCCCCCACCCCCCTCTCTCTATTTAAGGCCTCGACAGAGAGGCGTTGGGTCTCTGTGTGTCTATGTTGTGTGTGTCTCTCTCTGCTTGTGTCTCTCTGTGTGTCTCTCTCTGCTTATGTCTGTCTGTGTGTCTCCGTGTCTGTGTTTTGTCTCTCTCTCAAATTTAGCAATCTTTGGAAGAACGTTAATCAACCAGGTAGGTTGTTGACTGTTGTGTTAGCCGACTCTCTGTGTTGTATTGCATAATATTTCTAAGTTTACTAGGTTTATTTTCCACCTGATGACGATTGCTTGTGTTGCAATCGAAACGTCGTATTCTATTATTTCATTAATTTTCTTTCTACGTGACTTTACCGAAAGAACCAAACAGTCTCGTATTATTATTAATATTATGATGATATTCTTAACAATAACGTAACCAGAGGAGGCACGCTGAGTCGTGTGACCCTTTTTCAGGAGGTTCCTGCCGCTACAATGGGTTTTATTTTTATTTTAAGGTATCAGTCAATTCACGATGAGCGTGTTTACTGTACAGAGTGGTGGTCGAGATGTCTTGTGACCACCCCCCCCCCCCCCATTTAATTCAGTAAAACTCAATTTTTTTAAAGTAAAGTTTATGTCAAATGAATATACTAAGGGGGGGGGATGTTAGGGGTCGATAAATTGGGGGGGGGGTCACAAGACATCTGGACCACCACTCTTGGAAAGGAAACCGGAGCACCCGGCAAAAACAAAACAAAACAAAACCCTCGTGCACGAAGTGGCAGCGCTCCGTGCCCCGTACAGATGGAAACAGATGGCGATTCGTTCCACTCGCTCTACCGCCTTCTCCCGGCGAGCCGTGGTACGGCGCCTTCCTCGACGCCCGCGGGAAGGGAGTTCCACGACATTCACGCTGTGATCCACCAACCCACGGTGCAGGGTTACAGGCCACGTGCGGAACCCCCACCGCTCGGAGATCGACTCCACGCAACATCACAGCATAATCTTTGCATTTGTGTGTTGTGGGGTGGTGGGGGAGGGGGGAGTGATGTGTGGGCTGGGTGGTGGGTGGGTGGAGGTTTCGGTGGTTGGCATTGTAGCTGCGCATTGAATAATGATGGGGGGGGGGCTGGTGGAGTGAGAGGGGGGGGGGCGTTTTAGCGGAGTTTGACTTCTATATTTGGGGGGGGGGAGGCGCATGCGTTCACTTTGTCCCTCACATTCGGAATCGCGTGTGCATGTCATTTATTTTTAATATTCATTGCGAACTACCAAAAATGTCTTAATACGGGCCTTCAGTTTAGGGAGGGGGGGGGGCATTGAACCCCGTGGGGGTGATTTGGAAAGCTGTATCGTTGGGGGGGGGGGGGGTGACCCCTCCCCTCCTCACCCCACCTGGGACCCCCGCGCCTCGTGCCCGGCTCAGGCACCACCACAACCCCCCCACACACCCACCAGCACCAACAGCCATTGGCTCCCACGGCAGTGACATTCGCGATCACGTGAGCCAAGGTTTGGCCGTCCCCCGTTCTCCACGATCCCGACCCAAACCCCCCTCCCATCGTCACCCCCTCCCTTCCCTTCCACCCCCAAACACTGCCTCCTCCACTGCATCAAACGCGGTTTCCGTGTTTCTCTCACCGTGGCTACTGACACCCCCCCACTCCTTCTCTGCCTGTGTTCTACACTCTCTCTCTCTCAACCCCTCCTCTCTCTGCATCCCTCCCCTCTCTCCATCCACTCCCTCCATCCTTCCCTTCGCCCGCCACCTCCTCCTCCCCTCCCCCGCTCCATCTCTCCCCATCCATAATCTCCCCTCTCTCCGTCCCTCCCCTCTCCTCATTACCCCCCCTGCCCCCTCTCTCCATCACTCCCTCCCCCACTCCATCCCTCTTCCTCCTCCTCTCCCCATGCATCTCCCCCCCCCTCTCTCCATCCCGCATCCCAATCCTACGCCCCCTCCTCCACACATCCCTCGTCACAGTCACCACCCCCCACTCTCCTCCTCACTCCCTCCCTCGATTTCCTGCTCCACAGCGGTGCACAGATTGAGTGCGAGACACGGCGTGGGTGCGTGACTGTGGGAGCGTAGGCAGGCAAGGGCTTTTGCATCGGCAGCATCATCATCATCAGCAACAACATCGTCGTCATCATCATCAGCATCGTCTAAACCATCCACATCATCATCATAACAGCAGCACAATCAGTAGCATAATCAGCAGCAGCAACATCACAGCATAATCATGATCAGCAGCAGCATCGTGTTGTTACATCATCATCGTCATCATTTGTAGCTATATCATCATCACGTGGCAGGATCAGTAGCAGGATCACGATCATCATCACGTGGCATCAGCAGCAGCATTCGTCACGTAGCGATGCATCGACAACGCTCGATCCATTCGCTCACGACACGAGCGACAACACTCCAGGATTAAGAATCGATTATTTTAAACGACCTGTGTGGTAGGAGGAGAGAGGAGAGAGGAGGAGGGGGGAGGTTTGTCGCTGCAAGTTAAAACCCTGCAGCCACTGGAGGCGCTACAATGCAAACGCCATGCTCATTAAAAATAATCGGTGCTCAAGTCGAATCGCGACAAATCATCGAGGTGTGATTCGTTGCAGGTTGAATTCTCATCAGCATCATCATCACATCATTGTCATCATCAGCAGCGGCCGCAACGGCACATCGTAATCATCGGTAGCGGCAACAACAGCAGCAGCAGCAGCTCAACAGCGACATCATCGGCAGGGCACGACTCCATCGGCCCAGCATGGGTGCGGATTCAATGGAAGTGCCTTTGAACGCGACATCGCCTATTCTACCCTCCTACTCCCTCCTGCCAGAGAGCTGAGGGAGGGAGAGGAGGGAAGGGGGAGGGATAGGAGGGAGGGGGCGGGAGAGAAGACATTTCCTCCTTAAGCTTCATCACATCAGGTGAGGGCTGAGGAATTTGCCCATCTCTCACACGCGCGCACACATCTCACTCTCTCTCCCTCACACATCTCACTCTCCCTCTCTCTCTCACACACATCTCTCTCTCACACACATCTCACTCTCTCTCACACACACATCTCACTCTCTCTCCCTCTCTCTCTCTCACACATCTCACTCTCCCTCTCTCTCTCACACACATCTCTCTCACACACATCTCTCTCACACACATCTCTCTCTCACACACATCTCACTCTCTCTCCCTCACACATCTCACTCTCCCTCTCTCTCTCACACACATCTCTCTCACACACACATCTCACTCTCTCTCCCTCTCTCTCTCACATCTCTCTCTCACACACATCTCACTCTCTCTCCCTCTCTCGCTCTCACACACATCTCACTCTCGCTCTCTCACACACATCTCACTCTCTCTCACACATCTCACACACACATCTCACTCTCTCTCTCACACACATCTCACTCTCTCTCTCACACACATCTCACTCTCTCTCTCTCACACACATCTCACTCTCTCTCTCTCACACACATCTCACTCTCTCACACACATCTCACTCTCTCTCACACATCTCACACACACATCTCACTCTCTCTCTCACACACATCTCACTCTCTCTCCCTCTCTCTCACACACATCTCACTCTCTCTCACACACATCTCACTCTCTCCCTCTCTCTCTCTCACACACATCTCCCTCTCTCACACACATCTCCCTCTCTCACACACATCTCCCTCTCTCTCACACACATCTCCCTCGCTCTCACACACACATCTCACTCTCTCTCATCTCCTGGCTCGCCGCTCATTTCACGTCTCCCTTCTTCTCCTCCTCCTCTCTATCTCCACCCCTGCCCCCTACCACCCCTCTCTCTCTCGTGTCCTCCACTCATCTTCGTACAGACACATTCATTGGTGTCCGGGCAGCAGCAGCAACAAAATAATTCTGGCAAAATAAAAGGTAACAATAATAATTATTAAATAATGTGCGTGGCATACGATACGGTAATGCAATTCGTATTATTTGCATATCACCGGTGATTTAAACGTAGCAATCTCCGACCAATCTACGCCATTATTATACATTTAAATGTCATGGCATCTTCCCCCACCACCAACATTTTGTGTCTCTGTTAAATTATTTAATACAAGACGGCACGTGACTGCACACACACACAGACACACACAGAGACACGCGCACACGCGCAGAGGATGTGATGTGATGCGGTGTGGTATGTGGCAAGGCCACGCGCGCCATCACTACCACCACCAGCAAAATTGCATCCTTCACCTGTGTAGCCACGATCCGGTATGAAAAGCGCGTCGTCAGCATTGAGGGTTGATGGAATTCGTGTGTACACGCCGCCACCACCACCACACGCACGCGTGGTCCTCGTGAGAGCGAAATTGATTTTACAGGACTCTTTAGTTTGTTCATCTGCGCGTGATGTAGCGAGCAAAAAATAAACCCTCTGAGTCTCAAGACGCGTTTTCATGGGGGTGTTGGGGGGCCTGCCACGTTTTCCGCAGTGTTTCGGCATTGGGCGAAGTGGGAGGGGGGGATATGCTGCTGTGTGTCATCCAAATTGAGTCATTTGCAGGTTATTTTGCCGGCACTGGGATGTTTGGCCGATATCAATTACAATGGAATGATGTTCCTATGTGAGTGTGTGGATTAATGTTGGTGTATGTGATGGGTCTGTGTATGGATTAATGTATGTGTGTGTGTGATGGATCTGTGTGTGTGGATTAATGTAGGTGTGTTTGATGGGTCTGTGTGTGTGGTTTAATGTAGGTGTCTATGATGGGTCTGTGTGTGTGTGTGTGGATTAATGTATGTGTGTGATGTGTGTGTGTGGATTAATGTATGTGTGTGTGATGGGTCTGTGTGTGTGGATTAATGTATGTGTGTATGATGGGTCTGTGTGTGTGTGGATTACTGTAGGTGTGTATGATGGGTCTGTGTGTGTGTGGATTAATGTAGGGGTGTGTGATGGGTCGGTGTGTGGATTAATGTAGGGGTGTGTGATGGGTCGGTGTGTGGATTAATGTAGGTGTGTATGATGGGTCTGTGTGTGTGTGGATTAATGTATGTGTGTGTGATGGGTCTGTGTGTGGATTACTGTAGGTGTGTGTGATGGGTGTGTGTGGATTAATGTGTCTGTGTGTGTGGATTAATGTAGGTGTGTATGATGGGTCTGTGTGTGTGTGGATTAATGTAGGTGTCTATGATGGGTCTGTGTGTGTGTGGATTAATGTAGGGGTGTGTGTGATTGGTCTGTGTGTGTGTGGATTAATGTATGTGTGTATGATGGATCTGTGTGTGTGTGTGGATTACTGTGGGTGTGTGTGATGGGTCTGTGTGTGTGTGGATTAATGTAGGTGTGTATGATGGGTCTGTGTGTGTGTGGATTAATGTAGGTGTCTATGAAGGGACTGTGTGTGTGGATTAATGTAGGGGTGTGTGTGATGGGTCTGTGTGTGTGGATTAATGTATGTGTGTATGATGGATCTGTGTGTGTGTGTGTGGATTACTGTGGGTGTGTGTGATGGGTCTCTGTGTGTGTGGATTACTGTGGGTGTGTGTGATGGGTCTGTGTGTGTATTAATGTATGTGTGTATGATGGGTCTGTGTGTGGATTAATGTAGAGGTCTGTGATGGGTCTGTGTGTGTGTGGATTAATGTAGGTGTGTGTGTGATGGGTGTGTGTGTGTGGATTAATGTAGGTGTCTATGATGGGTCTGTGTGTGTGGATTAATGTAGGTGTCTATGATGGGTCTGTGTGTGTGTGGATTAATGTAGGTGTTTATGATGGGTCTGTGTGTGTGTGGATTAATGTAGGTGTGTGTGTGATGGGTCTGTGTGTGTGTGGATTAATGTAGGTGTCTATGATGGGTCTGTGTGTGTGTGGATTAATGTAGGTGTCTATGATGGGTCTGTGTGTGTGTGGATTAATGTGGGTGTGTGTGATGGGTCTGTGTGTGTGTGGATTAATGTAGGTGTGTATGATGGATCTGTGTGTGTGTGGATTAATGTAGGTGCGTATGATGGGTCTGTGTGTGTGTGGATTAATGTGGGTGTCTATGATGGGTCTGTGTGTGTGTGGATTAATATAGGTGTGTATGATGGGTCTGTGTGTGTGTGTGGATTAATGTAGGTGTGTATGATGGGTCTGTGTGTGTGTGGATTAATGTAGGTCTGTGTGTGATGGGTCTGTGTGTGTGTGGATTAATGTAGGTCTGTGTGTAATGGGTCTGTGTGTGTGTGGATTAATGTAGGTCTGTGTGTGATGGGTCTGTGTGTGTGTGGATTAATGTTGGTGTATGTGATGGGTCTGTGTGTGTGTGTGTGGATTAATGTAGGTGTCTATGATGGGTCTGTGTGTGTGTGGATTAATGTGGGTGTCTTTGATGGGTCTGTGTGTGTGTGGATTGATGTGGGTGGGTGTGATGGGTCTGTGTGTGTGTGGATTAATGTAGGTCTGTGTGTGATGGGTCTGTGTGTGTGTGGATTAATGTAGGTCTGTGTGTGATGGGTCTGTGTGTGTGTGGATTAATGTAGGTCTGTGTGTGATGGGTCTGTGTGTGTGTGGATTAATGTTGGTGTATGTGATGGGTCTGTGTATGGATTAATGTATGTGTGTGTGTGATGGATCTGTGTGTGTGGATTAATGTAGGTGTGTTTGATGGGTCTGTGTGTGTGGTTTAATGTAGGTGTCTATGATGGGTCTGTGTGTGTGTGTGGATTAATGTATGTGTGTGATGTGTGTGTGTGGATTAATGTATGTGTGTGTGATGGGTCTGTGTGTGTGGATTACTGTGGGTGTGTGTGATGGGTCTCTGTGTGTGTGGATTACTGTGGGTGTGTGTGATGGGTCTGTGTGTGTATTAATGTAGGTGCGTATGATGGGTCTGTGTGTGTGTGGATTAATGTGGGTGTCTATGATGGGTCTGTGTGTGTGTGGATTAATATAGGTGTGTATGATGGGTCTGTGTGTGTGTGTGTGTGGATTAATGTAGGTGTGTATGATGGGTCTGTGTGTGTGTGGATTAATGTAGGTCTGTGTGTGATGGGTCTGTGTGTGTGTGGATTAATGTAGGTCTGTGTGTAATGGGTCTGTGTGTGTGTGGATTAATGTAGGTCTGTGTGTGATGGGTCTGTGTGTGTGTGGATTAATGTTGGTGTATGTGATGGGTCTGTGTGTGTGTGTGTGGATTAATGTAGGTGTCTATGATGGGTCTGTGTGTGTGTGGATTAATGTGGGTGTCTTTGATGGGTCTGTGTGTGTGTGGATTGATGTGGGTGGGTGTGATGGGTCTGTGTGTGTGTGGATTAATGTAGGTCTGTGTGTGATGGGTCTGTGTGTGTGTGGATTAATGTAGGTCTGTGTGTGATGGGTCTGTGTGTGTGTGGATTAATGTAGGTCTGTGTGTGATGGGTCTGTGTGTGTGTGGATTAATGTTGGTGTATGTGATGGGTCTGTGTATGGATTAATGTATGTGTGTGTGTGATGGATCTGTGTGTGTGGATTAATGTAGGTGTGTTTGATGGGTCTGTGTGTGTGGTTTAATGTAGGTGTCTATGATGGGTCTGTGTGTGTGTGTGTGGATTAATGTATGTGTGTGATGTGTGTGTGTGGATTAATGTATGTGTGTGTGATGGGTCTGTGTGTGTGGATTACTGTGGGTGTGTGTGATGGGTCTCTGTGTGTGTGGATTACTGTGGGTGTGTGTGATGGGTCTGTGTGTGTATTAATGTATGTGTGTATGATGGGTCTGTGTGTGGATTAATGTAGAGGTCTGTGATGGGTCTGTGTGTGTGTGGATTAATGTAGGTGTGTGTGTGATGGGTGTGTGTGTGTGGATTAATGTAGGTGTCTATCTATGATGGGTCTGTGTGTGTGGATTAATGTAGGTGTCTATGATGGGTCTGTGTGTGTGTGGATTAATGTAGGTGTTTATGATGGGTCTGTGTGTGTGTGGATTAATGTAGGTGTGTGTGTGATGGGTCTGTGTGTGTGTGGATTAATGTAGGTGTCTATGATGGGTCTGTGTGTGTGTGGATTAATGTAGGTGTCTATGATGGGTCTGTGTGTGTGTGTGGATTAATGTGGGTGTGTGTGATGGGTCTGTGTGTGTGTGGATTAATGTAGGTGTGTATGATGAATCTGTGTGTGTGTGGATTAATGTAGGTGCGTATGATGGGTCTGTGTGTGTGTGGATTAATGTGGGTGTCTATGATGGGTCTGTGTGTGTGTGGATTAATATAGGTGTGTATGATGGGTCTGTGTGTGTGTGTGTGTGGATTAATGTAGGTGTGTATGATGGGTCTGTGTGTGTGTGGATTAATGTTGGTGTCTATGATGGGTCTGTGTGTGTGTGTGGATTAATGTAGGTGTCTATGATGGGTCTGTGTGTGTGTGGATTAATGTGGGTGTCTTTGATGGGTCTGTGTGTGTGTGGATTGATGTGGGTGGGTGTGATGGGTCTGTGTGTGTGTGGATTAATGTAGGTCTGTGTGTGATGGGTCTGTGTGTGTGTGGATTAATGTAGGTCTGTGTGTGATGGGTCTGTGTGTGTGTGGATTAATGTAGGTCTGTGTGTGATGGGTCTGTGTGTGTGTGGATTAATGTAGGGGTGTATGATGGATCTGTGTGTGTGTGAATTAATGTAGGTGTGTGTGATGGGTCTGTGTGTGTGGATTAATGTACGTGTGTGTGATGAGTCTGTGTGTGTGGATTAATGTAGGTGTGTATGATGAGTCTGTGTGTGTGTGTGGATTAATGTAGGTGTGTATGATGGGTCTGTGTGTGGATTAATGTAGGTGTGTGTCGATGCCTGTATAGATTTGTGAATGTGTGTATGTGCAGATGTACGTGTTTATCTGAACCTCTGTGTGTGCGTGTATGTGTGCAATTAATGTACGTTTATGGGTGTGTGTGTGTATGTTATGTTCAGGTTTGTGTATAGGTGCGTGCGTGTGTGCAAATATACGTGTGTGGACGGATGTGTATGTGTAAGGATATACGTATAATTCTAGGTGTGTGTATGTATTTGAGCGTGTCTGCAAATTTACGCGTGTGTATGGACCCGTGTGTGTGTATGGACCCGTGTGTGCATGTGTGGACCCGTGTGTGCATGTGTGGACACGTGTGTGCATGTGTGGACACGTGTGTGCATGTGTGGACACGTGTGTGCATGTATGGACACGTGTGTGCATGTATGGACACGTGTGCGTGTGCAAACGTACGCGCTTGTACTGCATGTATACATACCCACTAGGATTGTTAAACTGGCTTGTTATTATTGCCACTACCGATACGTAACCGGTTACCGCTTTGCCGCACGTGCGTATTAATGCCCTGGAGCAATAAAAACGACGATTCGACGCTTCGCGTTTTTACAGAGACACGAATGGCAGCAGCTGTGGCGAGCTACCCCACTCGAATGGCCATCCAGAGGTGTTCCAGATAGCTTCCACGTCCCGGCGTGGCAGTAGGAACGATGGCGGGATGGGAGGTTGCGGGGCGAGTTTCTTAAATCCCCTCGTCCCCACCGCTCCTCTCGCGCACCCAGCAGCTGTTCTCAATGAGGGTGCAACCGCGGTTGAGTTGATGGGCAGGTCGCGACTGATGGGGGTTAAAGTGTGGGTCCCATAAATAAAGGTTTCTGCGGGTCAGATCGCGTTAGTGTTAATGTGTCGTTAACCCGCCACCACCCGACGCGGCCGATTTAGTAAGGTCTGTCACGTAAACAAAACGTGCCAATTAGTTACGACATACACGTGTCAACCCACACGGTTTACCCCGTATTCTTGTACAGGGAAATTGAGTTTTCAGGTCCATACGGCGTACAGCCGTTTCAATACGGGCAACGACATTTTGTTTTGTCTAGTTGTTTGTGTTGTTTCTCCCTTGTGATTGGACTTTGTAGGATGAACGTTGAGATTTATAAGGGCACCACGGGGTGACCAATAAGGTCTAAATTGATCTGTGATAAGGTCGGGCACTGACAAGGGGTTGACTGGTGTGCTACGAGCTCAGCCCACCGTTGTGTTGGAGAGTAAATCCACAGCGTTTACAATTTAGGTACCGCGTGACGTTCCGCTGATAATTACATCCGGCAACATTGGTCGATTTTTGCCATAAATGGTGGGTTGTCCCGCCTCTTTGAAGGCATCCGGACTGCGTGGAAAAGTAGGCCTAACCACCCTCCTAGAGGGGGCCTCCAGAGCTCCCCCCCCCCTCCAGCAGAGGAGGTCTCTTCCGCCGCCCGTGGAGTGAGCGGGCAAAATTGCAGGGGGCTGCGGATCGGTGCGTTCATTGCAAAACAAAATGTTTCCACTGGAAGCAGTTGCCGACCGGTTCCTGACTTTTGGGACCGGTTTACGATCGGAGTTGGGGTTAAAATACTGCGCGTTTAAACGGCGTGATTCACGCATTCTGGCTTTGGTTGTCGCACACAAAGACCCCCCACCCCCGTATAGCCTGAACAGACTATTGGGGAAAGTGCCGTTAGCGAGCACCTATGAAGGCCGACACGGCACACGACGGTTTGGGTGGCCAACGCCACGCCCGGCCGTCTTTGTCTCCCTAGTGGCGATGTTTACACACCGCACCAGGTACTCATCTGAGGCTGAGTCGACTTAGGGGAGGCCCAGAACCGGTACAAATAATCATCACTGGTGTTAGCCGCGAGCGGGAATCGAACCCGGGTCGCCAAGTTTGTGGCGCAGCGCGCTAACCGCTCCCCCCATACATACACAGGTGAGTGGTGAGAGTCAGGTGAGTGCTTGGTGAGGCTACATTGTGAGTGTCTGATGAGGGCAAGTGAGTGTAAGGTGAGGGTCAGCTGAGTAATAATTAGGTATTGCTTGGTGAGTTTCTGGCGAGTAGTGGTTTGGTGATTGCCTGGTGAGTGTCTGGTGAGTGGTGAGTGTCTGGTGAGCGATGTCAGGTGAGATCAACTTGGTTGTCCTTCTCCCGCACCCCCGATTAGCACGGTTGGCTTTTGGGAGGTGAAAGAAGTCCAACATACACATTGCTACATACAGACGTACGTACAGACGAGTGGCGAGTACGGCATTAGACCTGGGTGAGTGTCACGTCACGTGGGTGATCCTGCACCCCCGTGCATGCGACGGTCTGTTGTGCCCGGTCGCGAAATCGAATCTGCCCAGTCTCTCGGCTAAGTTCTTCACACCACGGCAGGACGATCTCCACGAGGCCGCAAGCACCATCGTCTCTGACCCCTGACGATTATGACCACGTGCGGATAGTTGCGTTAATGAGCATGACCGGGTTTGTGATGATTCGACTCCGTTCCGCGCGGCCAAATGATGAAAATAACGAGGCCGCTCCCTGGCAAGGGCTGCAATTAAACAATTAAGTAATTGCGCGTGGCTAAGGACCTTAATGGAAATAACAAGAGCCTCTGTAAACACGGAGTGGCGGACATGAGAGGTTGATTTTAGGTCGTTGTCCGCCAAGTCTTTGGCTGTTTTTTGCCGTTTCATTTTGCATCATGCCTCTGGCGTTGAACTTCTCGCTTTAGACGACGGCCCGTGGAAGGAGATATCACAGAACCACGTCTGAGATCCCCCCCCGCCCCATCACTAGAGGAGCGCTGCAACCTCTCCACGCGCTCTGCTGCAGACAGAAACGTTCGCGTGGCGGTCAAGCCGATGTTATTGTTTTTGTTCTCGGCACCGCAATTCCTCCAAAGTAAAGCGTGAGCCCAAATGTGATGACGGCGAAGTGAAAACCCAATCTCGGTGTCGTCACGTCCGCACTGAAGAAACGGAGGTGGCCGGGGCGTGGTGCTGGCCGCCCACCCCCTTGAGCGCTGTGCCCGTCTTGGTGTAGGCGCTCACCAACAGCATTTGCCCCAACAGTCCGACGTGAGTTACACTGCGGATCTCCGTCTCTTAACACAGACCACTAACCTTGCCTGCATTGTGCCTCCTCCCTCCCTCGCTCCCTCCCTCCTCCCTGTCTCACCGTCATCCCCGGACAGGAATCAAACTGGACCCATGCTGCTCTGTGGCCATGGCACGGAGGACAACCCCTGGGTGAGTGAGGCACCGCCGGCACCGCCGCCACGTGGTTATTCGCGGTGCCGCCGCGCCGTCGTCGCTCTCCGACGGCGCGGCCTCCGGTCGGGCCGACGTCCCCGTCAGTCTTTGCTCCGCTTGCCGGCCAGCTTCTCCCGGAACTCGGAAAATGTCTAGGGACTCGGAGCGAAACGTCGGACGTCGCAGCCGTGTCCGCGCAGCCCGGTGGAGTGGCGCTTGGGGAGCGCGGGCGGTGCAGGTGCACGGGGGGCTCGGGGGCCCAGGCGCCGGTGCTACGAAGAGAGGGGCGGCAATTGGCGTGGGGATTGGGGGGGGGGAAGGGCGTTGGAGGAGGGGCATTTAACTCCCTGCACCAGGGACCATGCTGACCTCGGTGTTATGCCCCGAGGTTCAGTGTTCATCCCTGTGGCTCATGGAGCCAGACTAAGGCTCCCTTGGGGTTCAATGCGAATTCTTTTGGCTCAGAGCCAGACTAAGGCTCCCATAGGGTTCAGTCTAAATCACTGTGGCGCATAGAGCCAGGCTGAGGTTCCAATTTCGACCGAACCTGGAGATTTGTCTCGGTCGCCATACGCAGGCCTATCATCAGAACCGTGCAATGAAGTTCAGCACGCTGCCACCGCAACCTCGGGACTATTTATGCGTACCACACAAGATGCCAGTTCCCCGGACTGTGGGTTCAACGTGGTCAGAGCCATGAAGTACAGTAAAACCTTGGATTGCGAGCATAATTCGTTCCGGAAACGTGTTTGTAATCCAAAGCACTCGTATATCAAAGCACTGGTATATCAGTTGTGATCACGTGACGCTCGGTAGACAAAGCGTATTGCTACTCGTATTGCGAGACCCTCGCTCATTTATCAAATTAATATTTATTTACAATTTTTGCTCGTCTTGCAAAACACTCGCAGACCAAGTTACTCCCATTCCAAGGTTTTGCTGTAGCTTTATGTAGGTTGAACTTCTTTCGCACCGTACGTAGTCAACCACGCTAATCGTAGGTTGCGGGGGAAGGGCAACAAACTCGGCACAATTCTTTTTCAAGCTGGATTTAAAAGTGCATAGCTCCAGTGGCTTCCTCACATCGGAAGGAAGAGCGTTCCAGACGGACCGCAGCAGCGCATCGGAAAGCGCGCGACGCGGCGATCGTCTTTGTTTCGATGGCCAGCCAAAATGCCGCTGCCGCCGCCGCCACTGCAAGGATGACCGGAGTTTGCGTGTCGCGAAGCGTACGGTGTCCACGCCGCAAGAGACACCACGCGGGGAAGGCAGCAGCGGTAGCCAGCGTGCGTCGAGTTTGCGTGATAGGCGTGCATGGGATCTTGCAACGTGCGTGGGATCGTACAGTCTGTTTGGGATCGTACAGTCTACGTGAGATCATACAGTCTGTGTGGGATCGTACAGTCTGTGTGGGATCGTACAGTCTGTGTGGGATCGTACAGTCTGTGTGGGATCGTACAGTCTGTGTGGGATCGTACAGCCTACGTGGGATCGTACAGTCTGTGTGGGATCGTACAGCCTGCGTGGGATCGTACAGTCTGTGTGGGATCGTACGGTCTACGTGGGATCATACAGCCTACGTGGGATCGTACGGTGTGCGTGGGATCATACAGTCTGCGTGGGATCGTACAGTCTGCCTAGGATCGTGCGGTGTGCATGGGATCGTGCAACGGGCATGGGAAAATACAGTCTGTGTGGGATCGTACGGTCTACGTGGGATCGTACAGTCTGTGTGGGATCGTACGGTCTACGTGGGATCGTACAGTCTGCGTGGGATCGTACAGTCTGTGTGGGATCGTACGGTCTACGTGGGATCGTACAGTCTGTGTGGGATCGTACGGTCTGCGTGGGATCGTACAGTCTGTGTGGGATCGTACGGTCTACGTGGGATCGTACAGTCTGTGTGGGATCGTACGGTCTACGTGGGATCGTACAGTCTGCGTGGGATCGTACAGTCTGCGTGGGATCGTACAGTCTGTGTGGGATCGTACGGTCTACGTGGGATCGTACAGTCTGTGTGGGATCGTACGGTCTGCGTGGGATCGTACAGTCTGTGTGGGATCGTACAGTCTGCGTGGGATCGTACAGTCTGTGTGGGATCATACAGCCTGCGTGGGAGCGTACGGTCTGCGTGGGATCGTACAGTCTGTGTGGGATCGTACAGTCTGTGTGGGATCGTACGGTCTGCGTGGGATCGTACAGTCTGTGTGGGATCGTACGGTGCGCGTGGGATCGTATGGTCTGTGTGGGATCATACAGCCTGCGTGGGATCGTACAGTCTGTGTGGGATCGTACAGTCTGTGTGGGATCGTACAGTCTGTGTGGGATCGTACAGTCTGTGTGGGATCGTACAGTCTGTGTGGGATCGTACAGTCTGTGTGGGATCGTACAGTCTGTGTGGGATCGTACGGCCTGTGTGGGATCGTACATTCTGTGTGGGATCGTACGGTCTGTGTGGGATCGTACAGTCTGTGTGGGATCGTACGGTCTGTGTGGGATCGTACGGTGTGCGTGGGATCGTACAGTCTGTGTGGGATCATACAGCCTGCGTGGGATCGTACAGTCTGTGTGGGATCGTACGGTCTGCGTGGGATCGTACAGTCTGTGTGGGATCGTACGGTCTGTGTGGGATCGTACAGTCTGCATGGGATCGTGCAGTCTGTGTGGGATCGTACGATCTGTGTGGGATCGTACGGTCTGTGTGGGATCGTACGGTCTATGTGGGATCGTACGGTCTGTGTGGGATCGTACGGTCTGCGTGGGATCATACGGTCTGTGTGGGATCGTACGGTCTGCGTGGGATCATACAGTCTGTGTGGGATCGTATAGTCTGTGTGGGATCGTACAGTCTGTGTGGGATCGTGCAGCGTGCGGTGGCAGAGTACTGTGTTGTGGGGAGCGGTACTGTGCTGCGCTGCTAACCCGGCGACCCGATTTTCGATTCCCGCTCATAGTCAACACCAGTGACGATTATCTGAATCGGTCCTGGGCCTCTCCTAGGTCCACCAAGCCTCAAATAAGTACCCGGTGCGATGTGTAAACTTCGCCACTGGGAAGTCGAAGGCGGCCACCCAACGCCTCGTGTGCCGTGCCGCCCTTTCGTAGACGCTCACCAATGGCACTTGCCTCAACAGTCCGTTAAGGCTATGCGGGGGATCTTTGTCACTGTGTGTGATGGCCGTATGCTTTGCTGACCTTAATAGGTGGTCTAAATCTTGACTTGAAGCTTTCGTGACTGCAGGAATTCACATTCTTTGGGTCTTTCGGTAAAAGCCACGTAGATAGAAAAAATAATCACGACGTTTCGATCACCTGATGACGATTGCTTGCGTTGCGATCGAAACTTCGTGATATTTTTTATTATTTTTTTCTATCTACGTGGCTTTACCGAAAGACCCAAAGAATAGGTGGTCTAAACTTAACTAGGAAACTATATATTTTATTTTGCCGGGTACGGCCCACTGAACTCTGGAAGTGGCTCCTCATCGCATGGAGATTTATAGCGGTAGCCAAGCGCTCTGAACGTGTGGTGGTGATGTCGATGTTGATTCTAAACGTGGAGGGAACAACCGGAGGGCCCGGAGAAAAATCCACGTGACCACGGGGAGAGCGAGAGAGAGAGAGAGAGACGCGCAAACTCCAAAAATACAGCAGGCGTCACGGTCGGAAACCACGACCTCCTGCGTACCAGGCGAGGTCGTCAACATCTCGCCACCGCGGCGCCCGTCAAGCAGCTCTTGCCCCAATAATGTTAAAGGCTATATGGGGGATCTTTATCTTTGCCTTTGCGTGATGGTTGTATGAGAGATAGTGTGATGTGTATGTGTAAGCACGCAGCTGTGTGATCGGTGTGCGTGTGTGATTGAATGTGTAAGATTGTGTGATGCGAGTGTGCGCGTGTCTATATGTGTGTCAATGTGTTGGCACATATTTGTGAGCAAGCTGATGAGTGATGGGGGGTTTGTGATGTCTGTGTGTGTAAGTGATGTGCGTGTCCACTCGGCATCAAATGAATATCTGATGTGGTGTATAAACATCGCCACTGGGGAGACAAAAGCGGCCGGGCGTGGTGCTGGCCACCCACCCCCTCGTGTACCGTGCCGGCCTTCATAGGTGCTACTCGCTAACAGCACTTGTTCCTACAATCTGTTAAATGCTGTACGGGGGATCTATGTCTTTATGATTATATATCTGTGAATGTATGCGTGACGATATGCCAATGCGAGTGTGTGATGTCTATGTATGGATATGTATATGTGTGCGTGAGATGAGCAGTGTGTGTGTGTGATGAGATGCCAGTGTGTGTGTCTGCTCGCGATGAGATGCCTGTCCGTATGCGTGTGTGCGATGGGATGCCTGTCTGTATGCGTGTGTGTGTGTGTGTGATGAGACGTGTGAATGTGTGTGCATACTGGGTACCGAGGTTTGTGGGGGGGGGGGGTCATGTGCCGGTCTCCTAGCAACCGTATCCATGACGTCACCGCGTGGAGAATCTTCTCTGGGTGCGTGTGGAGCAATCGGCACCTTATTTTAGTTTTTGCTCAATTATGCTGCTGCCCACCCCTCTCCACTCCATACCTTCTCTAGCCCCCCCCGCCCCCACAGGAAAAAACCCTTCCCCAATGTTCTGCACCCCATCGTTGGCTGGTCTTATTGTTGGTACATCTGTGTCCGGCGGCTCGGAAGAGTCCCGATGATGATGATGATGATCATCATCTCTATCGCAAGCTCATCCCACATTCATCTCTGCTTCTCACCCCCGCCAGCTACGGTCGTACTGAGCAGAACTGCGTGCCACACAGTGCGTCCGTGTGCGTGCGCGCGTGTGTGTGTGTGTGTGTGCGTACCATGTGGTGCTCCATGTGTCTGCGTGTCACGTGTATCGGTGTGCTTCCACGTGTGTGTTGTGTCTGTGTGTATCACTTGCGTCTGTGTGGGTCATGCGAGTCTGCGCGTGTCTTTGTGTATGTACGTCTGTGTGTATGTCACACCCGCGC